AACGGTGAACAATCAGATGGTGGTGGGAACGCTCATCAGCCTCTGTGATGACCCCACGCAGGCCAAAGTGGGGCAGGACTGGCGCGAGGGCGACCTGCTGAACCCACTGCAAGCCCTCCTTCCCGCTCTCCCCTGTCTCTCCCATTCCCTGCAACCCACAAACAGCGCACACCCAAACGACGGTGAACGATCAGATGGTGGAGGGCACGCTCATGAGTTCGTGAGACGACCCCACGCTCGGAGCGTGTGATGAGTCGAACTTTGAGTCGACTCAAAAATCGGGCACGCTCATGAGTCCGTGTGTGTGACGACCCCACACTTAGAGCGTGTGATGAGTCGAACTTTGAGTCGACTAAAAAATCGGGCACGCTCATGAGTCCGTGTGACGACCCCACGCTTGGAGCGTGGGGCAGGACTGGCGCGAGGGCGACCTGCTGAACCCATGGCCTCTCTCGTTTCCTCCTTTTCCCTATATTCAGCGCACACGCAGACCACGGTGAACAATCAGATGGTGGTGGGCACGCTCATGAGCCTCTGTGACGACCCCAACGAGTCTCCCCCACCTCCTTCTCTCCCCCTTTTCCCCCTCTTCCCCCCGCCTCTCCACTCCTTCCCCCCTACACCTGACAGCGCACACCCAAACAACGGTGAACAATCAGATGGTGGTGGGAACGCTCATGAGCCTCTGTGACGACCCCACGCGGGCCAGCGTGGGGCAGGACTGGCGCGAGGGCGCTGACCTGTTTCCTCCCCACCATACCTCCCCACCATACCCCAACTCTACAGCGCACACGCAGACAACGGTGAACAATCAGATGGTGGTGGGCACGCTAATGAGTCTCTGTGACGACCCCACGCGGGCTAGTGTGGGGCAGGACTGGCGCGAGGGCGACCTGCTGAACCGCGTGCCGATCATCGTGACTGGAAATGACTTCAGCACGCTGTGGGCTCCCCTTATTCGTGATGGGCGCATGGAGAAGTTCTACTGGTGAGCATCTAGCCGCATGCACTGATGGCATATATTTGGCCGGCCTGGCCCACCACGACCAGTTTTTTAGGCGACTCAGAAGTAGGTTTTTGAGTCGACTCAAGAATAGTGAGCATCTAGCCGCATGCACTGATGGCATATATTTGACCGGCCTGGCCCAGCGCGACCTGCCGAACCGCGCTCCCATCATTGTGACCGGAAACGACTTCAGCATGCTGTGGGTTCCGTTGAAAAAAAAAACAACTGCTCTGCTGTAACAAACATCCCTTTCCTTTGTTCCTCTGCTCCTGTCCCCGCCCTTTCCCCGCATTTGTCTTTTGAGTTGAATCGTAAAGTCGCTTTGTTTCTCTGCTCCTGTCCCCGCCCTTTCCCCGCATTTGTCTTTTGAGTCGACTTGTAAAGTCGCTTTGTTTCTCTGTTCCTTCCCCCGCCCTTTGCCCTCATTTGCTCTGCCATTTCCCCATCTGCTCCCCGTCCCCCCCCTCACACCGGGTCCATTACAGGCAGCCCACGAGGGAGGATATAGTGAATATAGTGTACCGAATGTACATTAAAGACGGCTTATCACTTCAAGATATTGAGAGACTTGTCGACACCTTTCCAAACCAACGTATGCTCATACTCGCTTAGAGTAGTTTAGTGCCCTCCCAATTCCTTCTTCTTGTGAAAGAAGTGTAGTTTTGAGACGTCTCAAAAGTACACTTCTTTCACGTGTCATCTCGCTTATATTTTGCACACTGTCTTCCGCTGAGTAGTTCAGTGCCCTCCCTGTTCCTTCTTCTTGCGCTCACTGCTCCTTTTTCCCCTAAGCGTTCCTGCCGCTTGCCCACAGTGCACCTCCCTTGTGCATCCCTCGAACCCATGAACTTTAAAGCTCTTAGCATCACCTGAGCCTCGTGTCCCTCTGTAAGGTAATGCAGGAAACCTGTGTCCCACCCCTCCCCATTACTCCTCCCTCCCCTCCTCTCTCCATTCTCCCTCTTACCTCCTTCCTTCTCCCTCCACACTCCGTCCTCTCTCATCCCCCACTGCTCCCCTCCATCCTTCCCTCTGTGCCCCCCTCCATACTGTTCACCTTGCTCCAAGAGTAGCGTTGGACTTTTATGGCGCCCTTCGAGCTCGCACATACGATGATAAAGTGCTTGAGGTATGTAGGTGTGTGGGTGTGTGTCTGTGTGCGCGCGCGCACGTGCACATGCATGCACGCGCGTATGCATGTGTATTGAAGCTGAGCGTGTAATGAAGCAAATTTACACATGCAGTTGAGATGTATGTGTACAGTGTAGAAGATAAGCTGGTGTTACTGTACGCTAGTGTTACTGTAACCAAAGCTCACACCCAGTTCTCCATTCACTTCCTCTAACCACCATTTTCCCCTTCCTTCCCAGTGGGTGGAAGCCAACGGAGGGCCATCCAAGGTGGGTAAGCTGCTGATCAAGCCGAGGAGATGGGACGATGGCAGCGATGGCAAGGACACCAGACCCTCTGTCGACCCGCCTGCGGTACGCTGTTCGTACCACCCTGCTGCTGATGCATGTTCATCACGAACGCATTCTGGTGGTATTCATGTGATTCCCTCTTTCTATCAGCTTCCCATTTCTCCTACCTTCCTTGCTAACCTTGGCTTACCCTAAATGTTCTCCCCCGTCCTCTGTCCCCTCCTGTCATTTCACACCCCCTTGCTCTCGCTCGTCGCACTCTCCAGCAAACCCTGGAGGAGCTGGTAAAGGCAGGGGAGGAGATAGAGCATGAGCAGAAGTTGATGAATGAAGCTCGTTTGTCAGATGAGTACATGAAGAAACAGACGGGCCCAGGGATCGGGCTCACGATGGGTTGAAGGGGGTACTCGAGGGAAGGTGATTCAAGTGGGGCTATCTGCCAGTTTTGTAAAAACATTTAAGTAAAACAGCATGAAGTTAAACTTACATGTTCCCTCCCCGGATGGTCCAATCTCAGGAAAGGACCATTGCATGTGATGGTATCTTTGATTATTTTCCAGAATTAGTACAAAGATGATATGGAATTTCAATCAAACGCGATGCTTCTCAATGCTAGCGTACTATATGCCTGTCTACATACACACTGGTTGGAGTCACCTCCCAGCAAGGGGGTCATAAAGTTGATGATAGTGCCTCAAATGTCTGATTCAATTGCTTGTCCTTAATTCTATAACGCGTAGCTGCTTAGGAGACCACACTTGTCTTGAACATGGATGCACGGATCTGAGTGGAGTGCACAGCGGGGAACATGGGCAGAAAAACATGAATAGAAATTCCATCACGTGAACATGAAATTCCATGCAATGAAAAATATATATTGCCATGCCAGTGTGTTTAGGAAGAAGTACTCACGGCAGGAAGGTTTTGCTTGAATGCAATCTCAAGACGAGCATCGAGTGTGTTGGAGCAGACCACCCGGCCATCCTTAGAAGCCATCACAACACCTCCAGCACTGCCCACGGAATAAAAAAATATTGAGCCATAAGTTGGTTGAGGATTTCATGGCACTCATTGCATGAGACTTCACCAAGAAGGAACAAGGATGACAGAACCAAAGACATTTGTGGAAACATGGCTGGGATGTGGCTTACCAGTGGGGTGCAGCAGGAAGAAACTTGACAGTATCCACATCCACTGTTGGCGCTGTTTGCTTGGTAACTGTTACATACTCCTGGATAGCGCCGGGCAGAGCAGCTTTCACAGCAGCAACATCAGCTTCACGGCATCTAAGCTGTACGGCGGACTCGTTCAGGCGCACAAGTCCCTGAAGCAAGTAGGAACCATAGGAGTCATGGGAATAAATCAGGCTTCTATCAAGAGACTGGAAGCAAGGGATCATCATACGAGAAACAAACGGGAGTTTCAATCAGAGGAGAAACGCTAGCTGTTAAGAGTCTCACCTGAGCAATCACATCCTTCAACAGTTCAGTGTATTTCTTCGTGTCACTAGAGACCTTCAGGAGCTCTTTCTCTGCTGCAGCCTTCATCTCTTTGACAATGGAGTCCTGAGCTTGCAGCACTTTCAGTCGCGAGGCATTCAGCTGCTTGGAATAATCGCTGTTTCAGCAAAAAAAGAAGAGTGTGAAATCTGGGTGAAATGTGGACCTTTAACCTAGCTAAAACTAGATGGATCATGGATCTATAACGAGCTTACATTTTCTTCGCGATCTCGACCTGCTTCTCCTTGCGCTCATATTCTTGACGGATCTTTCTCTTCTCCGCCTCTACGAGCTGCAGCTTTTCAATGTTGAACTCCTGAACGAAACGAAAAAAGCGATCGCATTAGGGATGCAGCGACGTCATTGTGTCGCGGAAATGGCTCGAACTAGGGATCTGGTAAATGGCGCGACGAATAATATCGCTAGTTCCTATCCGTGCTATATCGCTCATGCTGTACCTCTTCAGCAGCAACAGCGATTTCATTAGCCTTCTCCTCGGCCTCTTGACGGATAAACTCCACCATCTGCTGCACCTGCTTCGAAACCTCGGCGCCCTGCATCTTGTCGGATGCTAAAAAATATCAAATAAGAAGAAGTCTTAAAAACAGGAGCCCTGTTCCGAATAGGAGGCTTCAGGTCAAATCTAGCCTAGTTTCCTGGAGTAACCTAGGCTCAAGTGAAGTCGGATAGCTGTTTCTGCAGTGTCTAGTCTAGTCTATCCCTGCTGCTGCTGTTCGTATTTCTGCAGGGAGTCAGCGAATGTGGATTTGTTGGTTTGGTCAGGCCTCGGTTCAGGCTCGGCATTCTCGGTGGCAAAACGTAGGCATTCGGTGCGAAAGGTCTTCACAGTGGTGAAAATAGCGAAACCCCATAAGAACAACAGTTCAAGGTAATTAGTAGCATTTAGGGAATTTAGGTTGTTTGTGGAAAGAAATGCAGCTTCAGATGCTGGGTGAGACTGTTGATTCCATATCACATTTCAAAGCACAAGAAGCTTGACATTTCGTGGGCGCTCTACATTGTGCTACGAATTCTTCACACAGCAGGCTTGTGCATGTCAGGACAGCTAAGAGTTTACTCTTCCTCCTCAGCACCTTCCACAGCGGCAGCAGCAGCCCGTCCAGCAATACGGTCAAGATCACGCTGCCCATCAGAGGTGATGCGGCGGCCACTGCAAACACAGTCCAAGAAAGCAAATACCAGTAGAGAATGCAACTGAAAACAGGAGCAACAAGTCATGGTTCAACTTTTCCCACAGCAACATCTCAAACAACAAACCCTCATCTTAGCTAAACAGGTCCTCATTCCAGTCCAAAGGATTCTTCTCAGGAACATTCATTTTGCCCGGCTTGATGGAAAAAAGCCTGACAGCCTCTCAGGCCTGAAACGAGAAGCCTGTCACAGGCACTCACCCAAAGAAGCCTGCACCAATACCAGCTTCTTTTGCCAGGCTTTACAAGTGACCCGCTCACCCGTTGGCGTCCTGCTCCCTGCTCCGCAACGCCAATAGGCTCCAGCCGCTGCAGCAAATGCTATGCCCTTTGAAGCGACTGCTGAGCCACGCACAGTCACCACAGCATGACGCCACCAATGGCACTCAGTACGAAGCACCCCATCACACACAGCCTTGATTTCTCTCTCAACCCCTCACACACACTCATTCACCCCTAGAAGCCCTGTTCGACGATGCAAAATCCCGATGGACTCCAGATGCTAGAGCACGTGCTGAACCCCTTCCACTCATGCCCGCATAACACCCACCACTAACTACCGTCCTGCGCCCTCTCACCCTCTAGCACACACACGCTCACCCGTTGGTACCCGCTCACCCGTTGGCGTCCTGCTCGACGATGCTGATGGACTCGAGCTGCTGCAGCACGTACCGGGCCACTGAAAGCGACTGCCGAGCCCACTCACAGTCACAATCACTGCAGCCAGCATGCACGACTTGACACGCAATCACTCACTCACTGAACCCACGCACACAGCCACTCACCCGTTGGCGTCCTGCTCGACGATGCCGATGGACTCGAGCTGCTGCAGCACGTGCCGGGCCACGGACCCGCTGCTCCTGCAGAAGTGCGACGGCCGCGACCCGTTGTTCTTCGGCCCGCCTGCGATGGGAGGGGTGGGAGAGGGGAGGAATAGGAGGGGGATATGTTCTGAGACGTCTCAAAACTTGTGTCGGGCCACGTATCCGCTGCTCCTGCAGAAGTATGACGGCCGCTACACGTTCTTCGGCCCGCCTGTGAAGGGAGAGGGGGGAGGGGGGAGGGGGAAGGGGGAACCGGGAGAATAATAGAAGGACATGTTAGGCGGATACGGGAGGGGGGTATATGAGTCGGGTATGTTAGGAGGATAAGGAAGGGGGATATGTGGCGAGGATATGAGAACGGGATAGAGGGGATACGGCAGCAGGAACAGATTGCAGAGAAGAAAGAGGAGAGAAAGGGAGGGGTGGATGGCCCTGATGGAGTGGAAGAAGAGAGGACCGGAGAAACCGCAGCCCCGGACGATATGAACGCACAGAGCGCGAGACGAGCCGTCAAGCGCTTAAACAAGCGAAACTGCAAGTACTGGTCGTGAACAAGGATAACACAGAGCGCGAGAATGGTGGGGGGGGGGGGAAGAAAGGGGAGGGGGGAGGGAGAGCGGGAGGCGAGAACCAGAGAAGATTTATTTTTCCCCTCGCAAGATACGTACCGTAGATCTTCTTGAAGGCACCGACTCCAACGCCAGGCTTCAGGTACACCTTGCGAGCCATGGAGGCTGCAGGAGGGACACGCAGCAGGAAAACATCAAAGAAGGGGGCAACGCTGAGTTTCCACAGGTGAAAGTCAATAAGGGGGTTGTGTTGTTCCAGAACCAACACGAGCTTCGTGATAAATTTGGCAGTTCATAAACGTTAACGGGCTGGTCACCCTCCAGATATGGCACGATCCAGAACTACTCGAGACCCACGAGTCAGGAAAAAGGTACTGCAGCAGCTACGACACCACTGGAATGGATGCCTTATACAAGAGGTGAGAGAGGAATGCAAGCGAATGAGAGTGGGAGCGAGTGAGAATGTGAAAATGCAACAACAATATTTCGTAATGCCTATTGTTGCACTCAGTGAACGATGCATTCAAGAAATATTAAGAAACTATCTCCGAGGCGCCTCAAAAAAAATTCCAATACACGATGCATAGAGGCGATACGTACCAGCGCGGATGTAGTACCAATCGGGATCATAGGGCGCAAGTTCCTTGTAGGTTCCTGTCTTGACGATGTCAGCCCATGTGGGAACCTCCACCTGATGCGGTCACGCAAGGGAGAGAAGGGGGGGAAGAGGGTGGGGGAGGGCGGGGGAGGGGAAACGAGCAAGAACGAGGCTGAAAAGTATTGAAGCGACGTCAGCCCATATAGAAACCTTCACCTGATGCGGTCACGCAAGAGAGGCAGGAGGGATGAGGGAGCAGATGGGGTAATGGAAACGAGCGACAATGCGGACCTATGAGTCGGATCAAATGGTCGAGACTGAGGAGAGGGAGGGAAAGAGGGGAATAAGGAGCTAAAACCAGACAAGGGGGGGAAAGTGATGAAGAGAAAAGTAAATGCGCGAGACCAAAGAGGAAGAGGGAGCGGCACTGCGGCACAGAGAAGGAAGAGAAAGAGGGAAGGGAGAAAGGAATGGAGGATAAAAAGGGTGGCGTTCTGAATGCGTGAACTGCCGGGAGACGTGCTGCTTGATGCAGTTCGGGGTAACCTATTTTCTGCTGACAACGTATCGTCTACCCACGAGCTGCGGAAGAATATCCGCACGCACACGCGATAACTTTAACTCGAGTGGACACCTGTGATTCGTCAAGTACCCGATTCTTTCATCGCATACGAGACACGACATACTAGTGAAGCGTATCGGGACACGCCGTTATGACCACGCGACGACCTCAGAACTGCGAAACCCTAACATCAGAGACAGCAGCAGCTTCGACGATCCGCCTGACGACCCTCTGCGGCAGCTTCATCGCCTAATCGCGCAACGGAGACGAGCCACCCCTTTCAAAAAGCAATACCACGAGTGAAAAACGTGATGGCAACTGGGTAACGGACCCGGCAAATCAACATGAAGAGTATCATTCCCTCCGCAACTAGGGTTTCGCTTGTGAATCGACTCAAAACCAGGTCAGTTGAAACTCCCCTTTCATAACTACGCCTCCGTCCCTCGCGCGTTGGAAACCTACGCGCAACGTATGGTCCTAGCGCCATCTCCTCCCTGAACGTCAGACGCTCTCTAGTCGCCTAACCTGCAAATTAACTACTGGCTGTGGCTATAGCACCACCGAATCCAAAGATAAAAATCCTTCCCATTTCCCCCAGCGCTTGTCTGCTTCTGAGAGGCCTTAGGGATGTCTAGGCTATGCCCCTGGATATTGCCGCAGCTACTCCCGATCGCCCTCGTTATTGTCATAGTGATCACCTTGCCTGTGCGCTTCAAGTGAGCCGCATATGCCTTGACGAAGGCATGCGGCGACACGTCCTTCACGGTTGTTCCTGTGGCCACCATCCTGCCCTTTTTCTTCTGCGATTAAACTAAAAACTTGGAAAAGAAAAGACGCTCGTCTATGGTGCGGAGGAGTATGCGCGGCACCACGCAGGCCTATGGGGCCAGGGAGGATTCTGGCTCAAGGGCGGAAAAGGAGGTAGAGGAGAAAAGAGGAGAGCCAAAATACCGAGAATAGGTCAATGGCGGAGGGAGCAGGGCAGGGGAGGGAGAGGTGTGACGAATGGGGAAGGATAGGAGGGGAGAGGCAGAGAGGAGGAAAGGGAGACAGGGAGGGGAGGGAGAGGAGGGAAGCGGAAGCGAGGGAAAAGGTTGGGGGAGTTTCCCCCAGAAAGGCTGTGTCTGGGACAGAAATCGCGCAGAGTTGGAGGCAGGGAGAATCCGCGGCGAAAGATACGTGTTTGGCGGAGACCTTGCGAAGGGTAACAGAGTACGAAGAGGGAAGGTTGGCGAGGATGCTTTGGGGGTGGCGAGGGATGTGGAGCTCGAGGGCGGTGGTGGAAAGCCACCCAAAACAAATCAGTCGCACAATCTTTGAATATACAACATGATCATTTCAATCAATCCTCATTTCCTACATATATTGTGTTAGGCCCGACGGCCTAAGTCCGCTAAAGAATTAGCGGGGTCGACTAAGTCGAGGATGAAATGCGGCGGAAGACTTTGGCGAAAGAACTATTGGCAAAATAGGCAAAGAAGTTACTGAGTAATTGAAGAAGAGTTGAATGAGAATTGATTGATAATGGCAAGTACAATCGAGGTTTAAGTAGCATGCAAGAAACAAGGTTGGAAAGTAGATTGTGGGACTAGGAATTGTGAAGCTAGAAAAGTAGAGTGCCACGTGGCACTAGAGAATCTGAGAAGATAAGGAGAAGGGTGAGTTGGAATGTACTGTCCGGAATGAACAGTAAATCCTCCCTTAACACTACCCTCCTCCCAAGGAGGCGACGTCCGCGGCGCCTGCAGACTGGAGGTACGCTTGGAGGCAAGCGTTGTCGGGAGACAGCGAGGACGAAGGAACCCAGCTGTCGTCTGCTGCGTCGTAACCACGCCAACGAACCAAGAAGTCGATGAAAGGGACACCCCCCTGGAGACGGCGACGGTGCCTGAGGATGCGCTGGATCTGGTAGTCGGGCTCGTCGGTGTCAACAGCTACCGGCAGTGGAGTGCGGTCACGGCCCGAGAAGGTGGCGTTGGGATCGGTATAAGGACGAAGAAGCGACACGTGGAATGACGGGTGCATGCGGAAATGAGCGGGAAGGCGGAGGCGGTATGCGACTGGACCAAGCGCGCGCTCAATGACGAATGGATCAATGAAACGTGGACGAAGCTTGCTGTCCTGTGGCAGTCGGAGGTTGCGGCTATCCAAGAGAACACGGTCGCCGACTGCGAACGACACCTCACGACGACTGCGGTTGGTGGTGCGTGCCATGCGTGCATTTGCGAGCTCAAGGTGCTTCCTCACGTGATCATGAATGAAGGTGAGATGCTGGTGGAAGTTGTCCGCACGAGGGACTGTGGGTGTGAGATCGACACGAGTGGGGACATTGGGGTGCTGACCGTACAGTGCGAAGAACGGTGACATGCCTGTGGACGAGTGGTGCGTGTTGTTGTAGGCGAACTCGGCCATGCTCAGCTTCTTGTCCCATGCGGCTGCGTCGTGCATCGTGATGCTGCGAAGAATCTGCTCCAAGGTCTGGTTCACACGCTCGGTCTGTCCGTCTGTCTCTGGATGGTACGCAGACGACATTGCTAAGCGAGTCCCGAACAGTGCGAAAAGCTGCTTCCAGAACTTCGAAGTGAAACGAGGGTCGCGGTCTGAAATGATGGAATCTGGAACCCCGTGCAGTCGGACTACGTTATCTATGAACAGCGTCGCGGCTTCCTCCGCTGTGACCTTGCCGTGCGTGGGGATGAAGTGCGCTGCTCGAGAAAACTTATCCACTACCACGAAGATGGCGTCGTGACCCCTAGCTGTGCGCGGTAAAGCCATGATGAAGTCCATCGTAACTACCTGCCAAGGACGGTCGGGTGGTGGAATCGGCTGCAAAAGTCCTGCCTTGCGCTGGCGAGAGGACTTCGTACGCTGACACGTGTCGCACGAGCGAATGTAATCCTCTACGTCTGCTGCAAGCCCTGGCCAGTAGTACGTGCGACTAAGCGTCTTAGCCGTCTTATCTGCTCCGAAGTGCCCTGCACTAACTACGTCGTGCGCCTCTGAGAGAAGGAGCTGTCGAAGAGGGCGGTAGGCAGGAACCCAAATCCGTGTCGTACCCTTCCGTATGTAGACACTACCCTGCACCTCTGCTCCTGCGGGCGGCTGTGCTGTGAAGTCGGGATCTACTGTGTAACCGTGCTCGAAGAGTGCTGTGAGAAGTGGGTGGGCGGCAGTGACTGTGAGACTAGCGAGCTGGCAACTAGGGCGAGTGAGCGGATCTGCTGGGTTGCGCACGCCTGGCTTATACTCGATCCTGTAGTGGAAACTCCCCTCCATGAACTCCATCCATCTAGCCTGGCGACGACTCAGCTGCAGCTGCGACTTGAGAAATCGAAGCGAGCAATGGTCCGTGCGTATCACACTATCTGCCCCCTCTAGGTAGCATCTCCACACCTTATACGCATGGATGATCGCGAGCGCCTCCTTGTCGTGTATGGGATAGTTCAACTCCGCTACCCTAAGCTTACGTGACTCGTACGCGATCGGCTGCAACCCGCGTCCCTGGTCCTGAAGAAGCACTGCTCCTATGGCCCAATCTGATGCGTCGGTCACTACAACGTATGGGCGAGTGGGATCTGGGTACGACAGTGTCGGTGAAGACGTGAGCGGCTGCTTCATCTGCTCGAACGCCTGCTGCTGCGCTGGACCCCAATCGAAATCTACGCCCTTCCGAAGTAGGTCGGTGAGTGGACTAGCGATCGATGCATAACCCTGAACGAAACGACGATAGTAATTCGCGAATCCGAAAAAGCTCTGCAACTCCTTGACTGAGGTCGGTGCTACCCAATCCTGTACTGCTGCGATCTTCTTCGGGTCGGTCCTAATGCCACTAGCGGATACGACGTGTCCTAGGAACTCGACCTCAGGGAGAAAGAATTCGCACTTCGACTGCTTAGCGTACAGCTGCTCCCTCCGTAAAACCTCGAAGACCTTCTGCAAGTGCTGCACGTGCTCCTCTTTCGTCTTGGAGAATATGAGAATGTCGTCTAGGTAAACTACAACGAACGAACCTAGGAACTCGGAGAGGACGGTGTTCATGAGCGTCTGAAACGTCGCTGGGGCGTTGGTCAATCCGAACGGCAGAACCCTAAACTCGTACAACCCCTGCTTCGTACGAAACGCCGTCTTGTGCTGGTCCTCTGGAACTACACGAATCTGGTGGTAACCCGAACGAAGGTCGATCTTTGAGAAGACTCTAGCGCCCTGCACTGCATCGAGAAGATCCTCTACTCTCGGCACCGGAAATCTATTCTTGACGGTGGCGGCGTTCAGTGCGCGGTAATCTATGCACATCCGTAACCCTCCGTCTTTCTTAGGCGCGAACAGGATCGGTGCTGCCCAAGGCGATCTAGATGGCTGTATGAAACCCTGCGCGAGAAAATTCCTAACCTGCTGCGTCATCCCCTCTGTCTCCGCTGGACTCAACCTCCACTGCGGCTTTGCTACTGGCCTGCTCCCCGGTTCCAACTCTATTCGATGGTCTACTGCTCGGCTGGGAGGTAACCCTGGGGGCAACTCGTCGGGGAAGACGTCTGCGAACTCTGCTAATAGTGCACTCACCTCAGCAGGAAGAGTCGCCTTCGCACCAACTGCTGCACTCCCTCCTTTCCCCTCCTCAGCTTCCACCTCCTCAAGGAAAACCGCAAAGATCCGCGCCGCACGCTTCACTAACTGTCGCACACGAACAGCATTAATGATAGCTGTGGAGGATGTGGCCGCATCGCTCCACTGTGGCAGCTCCCGGAACTCGCCATCTACCTTGACGCTGCAGCTTCCCTGAGCTCAATCGAACTGAGTACTAACCGTGCGTAGCCAATCTCTCCCGAAGATAAAATCGTATCCGTCCAGCGTCGCAGAGTCGAAATCACGCCTAACTGTGATCGGTCCTAGCACTACGCGCAACTTGCGGATGATCGGTCCTATGTGAAGCGGCGTCCCATCTACCATGCGTGCATCCTTGAAGTTGACTGCCGGATCTGCTTCGAGATGGAGACGACTAACTAACGATGAAGACACGAACGAGTGGCTAGCTCCGCTATCTACGAGAATCTTAACAGGAACTCCGCGAAGCTTCCATAGAAGCACGACTGGTCGGTCAACAGTGTCTACCCCGTTCTCCGTAGATGACTGCTGCAAAGCCGTCTCCTCTACGTTGGTAGACGTGGCGGGTACGGGAACCTCCACATCAGCTAGCGACCCGCTATCTACTGGCGGTTTCCGTTTCCCTGCTGCCGCTCCTTAAGCTGTGGGCAGTCCCGCTTCATGTGTCCCGGCTTTTTGCAGTAGTGACAGTTCCCCCTAAATCCCGTTTTCTGTGAGCCGTCACTGTTAACTGCACCAATCTCCATGGGCGATGGTCCGTCCCTCCATCGAGCGTCGTTGATCGGTCTATTGTATCCCCTATCGCGATCGTCACGACCCCGTCGGCTTCGTACTGCGTCGACGCATTCTGCTGCTGCGACAACTGACTCGAAGGTGGACAACCCGTGAATCGCTATAACTTCCGCTATGTCCGGCTTCAACCCTTCGAGGTAGCGATCGCGCATCTCTGCTTCCGTGATGTCGTCTATTTCGTTGCAGATGCTCAAGAACCGTCGTGTGTACTCTTGCACGTTTCCTATCTGTCGGAAACGACGCAGACGCTTCCTAGCAGCTTCGGAGGCGTTCACCAAATCGAACCTACTTTTCAGCGCCGCTTCAAATCCTTCCCATGTGGTCGGAACCGTGGTAACACCCAAAGCTAAACTCCCTAAGCTCGAAGTTGCAGCTGCATGCCCCACGCCCTGTTGATGCCCGTCTGTCTGAGCCCTTCTTACAGCAGTTTGCGTGGATTGGCGCCACCACTCCAAGGCCGGGCCCCTTAGCAGCGTAACGGCGTACTCGATCCGCTGCTGCGCGTCCGCCTCTTGCACCCCGCTCGCGGCGAAGTAGTTGTTCAGCATGAAGAGCCACGTCCGCACGTTCGCGTCGCGTTGACTCGGGTCGAACGACTCGGGTTTCTGCGGTTTGAGCGCGCTTCGACGTTCCGGCAGCGCTTCCGCGCCAGTCGACGTGTTGGGCGCAAGAGTTGGTGCGGCATGACCATGGGGGTTAGTAGCCAATTCACGAAACTGTTGCATTTCAGCTCGTACCTGACGATTTTCCAACGTCAACTCTTGAAGTTGGCGCATGAGTTCGGCAAGCGTGTTGCCCATGTCGTGGGGGAGAGCGTGCATGGTTTCGTCCATGTTCGCCCGACGACTCCAAGTCTGCAAGTCGGCACCGCGGGACGATGACGTCATAGTCTCGTCGTCGACGGTCGCTCGTTGGAAGTCGCTCCCCGCGAAGGCTCTGATACCAAGTGTTAGGCCCGACGGCCTAAGTCCGCTAAAGAATTAGCGGGGTCGACTAAGTCGAGGATGAAATGCGGCGGAAGACTTTGGCGAAAGAACTATTGGCAAAATAGGCGAAGAAGTTACCGAGTAATTGAAGAAGAGTTGAATGAGAATTGATTGATAATGGCAAGTACAAGCAAGGTTTAAGTAGCATGCAAGAAACAAGGTTGGAAAGTAGATTGTGGGACTAGGAATTGTGAAGCTAGAAAAGTAGAGTGCCACGTGGCACTAGAGAATCTGAGAAGATAAGGAGAAGGGTGAGTTGGAATGTACTGTTCGGAATGAACAGTAAATCCCCCCTTAACATATTGTGTGCAACCACAGTGTTTCTAGCAGCCAAACCAAACTACTACATAGAAATCTACCAGCTGTGGAGTCACACACAAGCTTTGCCATTGGTATTTCAGCAGAATCTTGACAAGGGGAGGCATACAGAAAGGCATTAGCTTAAACATCAACTCAGGAAATACCACATTACACATTTAACGAGGTTTCATTTAACCTCTCGAACAATGTACTCAGCAAAGAATCTTTTTGCCGACTCTGCATCCTTGGGCGGTGCATTCCCAGACAAAGCAGCTTGCCCAGCCAGGCGAACAAATGTCCTACGCAACCGTTGCAATTCTGGAAGACCAACGGGCCGCCGTAATACTATGTTGTTACTAGGTCCCAAATCTACTGTGAATGGTGATGAGGCGCCTCCTAGCGATGCCTGAGCATCCATCACAGCGGATATCACCTCCTGGGAAAGAAAGAAAGTCACAAGGGGAAGAGAACGATCAGTATGTAAGAGGTGTGTGTGTGAGCGCATGCGCGTGTGCAAGTGTATGTGTGCTTCGGAAAGAAGGGAGAGGGGGAAAGGGAGGCGAGGGCAAAGAAATCCGCTGTCAAGTAATGAAGCGATCAGCATACTGCCCAGCCCAGCAGGCATGGTGTACAACAGACAGCACTACCTCGGACCACCTGAACCCTCAATCTTTTCCTTACCTTTGTGGCCCGGTCCATCTCATACAGCACATTGGCATCTGACGCTGTAGCCTGCACCATCCAAGACAAAGGGAAATTTCATCAAGCGTTAGACTCATTAAGTTGATAGCACTCGAAGCCAAGGGCTGCAGTGCTATGATTAGCTAGCTCACTTGTGAATGAGCAGGTGAGTGAAAGCTGTGTGCATGCGATGCGATTCATGAAAAAGGTGTGCTGTCAGGAGGGGGCTCACTGTCTGAGTGGCAACTGTTGGTTGCAACGCCCTGCCTGCTCGCCCCTGTCCGTTTGCTGCTCCGCTTCCTCCCACAAGCAGTGTCACCACCTCGCCTATAACCTGCTCTGCCTCCTCTGCCGCTTGCTCTGGCAGCACGAGGATTACGGGTAGGAAGAAGGGTATTCAAGCAGCTGTTAAAAGACAGTTTAGAGGAGCGACACTCCGACAGCCTCTGCATCTTGTGTCCACCAGGAGTCTCACAACCCACGATCCACCACTTGCCCTTCACCATTCAACACTTACCACTGAATCCACATCCGGTTATCATCAGATGCATTCCTTTGAATATCCCTGCCTGCATTGCATGCCACTGGCTGCATCAAATACCACTGGCTGCATCAAATACCACTGGCTGCATCACATACCGGCGGCAGGATGAAGTTCAAAGAGGGGCGAGTCCCAGCGATTGCGACCCACCGGCCTTTCGAATCGACCCAACAGATCCTCCAAACTGATAACGGGCAGAGATGAGTAGAGGGGTGGCATGGCGAAAGGGGGGGAAGGGATGGCGTGGTGAAGAGAATTGGTGAACGGAATAGATGGGAAGGGGGGCGGGGGGTGGAGGGTGGTTGCGGAGGGGAGGATGAGGAGGAGAGAGAGCAGGGCGGGGGAAGTTCGGAGCAGGGGGAGAGAGAAGAATAGTGAAATTGAATATAGGAAAAGTGGCAAATTAGGGCTCCAGGGCTGTAGGGAAAAGTGGCAGGACTCCCCTGCTTTGGCTGACTCTCAGAAGGATCCCAACAAAAGCTCCCACGAACCAACTATCTCCGCACTCACATATGGGGAGCGTAGCAGGGCTCTCCCGCGTCTCTGCGCCTGTCGTTCCACTCCCTTGCCGTCTCTGCCGCCACGTCGCAATGCACCTGGCGAAATGGGGGGAGCGGGGGGTTGAAAAAGGGGAAGGGGAAGGGTAAGGATAGGGGGGTGCAGAGGGATGCAAAGGGATGCAAAATAAGGTTATTCACAGGCTCACAACGCAGACACACCGCTCACACTCACTGCATCGCACTCACCACGCAGTATTTGGTGGCAGCAGCACGTGCCAGGCACCACAGCTCGTATCGGTACCCCTTGATGGCGTTCAGCGAATCAACGATCACAATTCGATCCTTGCCGACCGCGCGATCCACTTCCGATCGCAGCGATCCTCGCAGATTCTTCTCGGCCACCATATCTGCACGGTTGACCGGGAATTGACCGGGATTGACCGAGGGATGAATGAGAATTCACCGAGGGTTGACTGGTGTAACGCAGCGAATGAGTAAGAACTTGTAACTCGTGTGACAGTGACAGTAACAGTACCCCAATTTAGAACACTCCCAGAAACCCCCTGCAGAATAAATTACGTACTTTGATAGCCATCGTCGCGGCCTATGTGAAGCTGCTCCTCGCCTAGGAGGACCACACTTAATCTTCTATCGCCGGGAGTGCTATTCTGCTGCTCGTTAATAGCAGCCTCGAGAGACGCTACAAGCTGCCTCGCTACTGTAGACTTGCCACTGCACGGCTGGCCGCAAATCAGCACCAGTGCCATCCCTCGTCTCGCGAGTTGATTGGTGCAACTGTGTTTGTTTTGATCCCCCAGCGTGACTTCAATATTTCAAGCTCGCAATCGCAGCTGCATTGATCGCCAGTCGTGGCGACCAAGCCGAAAAGGGATCACAGTTCGCGGCGCATTACGGAGTGAGCTTGAAATAGGTTGAGGAAATTATGTCCCTGTGCGCAATCTATGTGGAGTCCCAGAGTTCCTCGGTTTTGAGAAAGCGTTTGATTATTCGTACAGTTATCATACACATCAAGAATTGAGAACTTAGTACAAGCATTGTAACGAGCCACGAATCGGGTTCAAACCGATCAGCTGACACCAGCCTTCTAGACGCCTTCGCCGTGTTACCGAGGCTCGAAAAAGGATCGCAGACATTCGCCGCTTCTTGACGCAAGATTTAGCTGCCTTCCCTTTCCCCTGACCTTGGGATCTCCCCGCCTACAGTATTGGAATTTGGTTGCCACTGACATCAGCAGAAGGCCAACAGAAGAGAAGCATTTGTAGTACGAGAATTTTATCATCCTCTAGACATTGACATAGCTCAGTTGTGGGACATGTTGTCGTGTCCGGTTGGCTTATTCAACCTTCCTTTTTTGAAGTAAACTCATTTTCGCGCGAAGCGTAGCGTTTTACACGTACATTGAAGAGCTCACTCAAGAATCACCCTCTATCAGCCTCCTTCCTTTTGTTGAGTAGTAAAAATTGTTGCTCGAACTGAAGGATCTCTCTTAACGAAGTCGGTTTTGGACTGATCCGGAGCCATGGATTCGCCAGCTGCGGAATTGTCGCACGAACCTTCTGCGACGGATACCCCACCGGCAGATGCAACAACTTCGGTACAGGCGACACCTGCGCCAGACTCCGCTTCATCAGATACGCCTGCGTCAGATACGCCTGCACCAGCGGATGCGGAGCCTGTCAGGAGCTCTGCGGCACTCGCATCCACCACCACGGTACAGTCTGACCAATCGCCAGCTGCAGCAGACGGTACACCAGTGGCGTCAGACACGCCCGTATCCTCGTCAGCAGGAGACGCAAGCGGTCCCATTTCTGCTGGTTCCGACGTTCAGCCAGTTCCTTCTGACGTGGCACCGTCGGTTGATTCTGATCGTGATCCTGCCACGTCGTCGGGCCCTGCTCGCCGCAGCGAAGGCGTTGCGGAGAGGCGGGAGGACGGCGCAACGGCTGGCGGAAGGGGCGGAAATGGTGAAGCGCAGGGAAGCGAGGTGCGCGGAGGGGGAAGCGGCCGAGGGGGAAGCGGAGGAAGGGGAAGAGGTAGGGAAGCTACTAGGACTACCAGCAGCAGCGGTAGGTCCGCGAAACCAGCGTCTGACGCGGTAAGGCGGTACACCGCTGAGGCATCTGCTCCGCCGGCCTCACTACTGGAGCAGGCGCAGGCGTTACCCGGTTACTCGCTCTTCTCCAAGGGCCTGCAGTCGCTTCGTTCGTCGCTCGCCAGCCCTTCGCCTGACTCTTCGCCAAGCCCTGCGACAGGGAGAGCAGGTGGAGGTGAGGGGGGTAGTGCCAGTGGGTCAGCAGGACGAGGACGAGGAAGAGGAGAAGGGAGAAAAGAAGGCGCAGGTGGGACAAGAAGCACGTCTGGTGCTACTGCTGGGCCTGGAGGCGCAGCAGCAGCAGGAGCGGGAGTTGGCGGAGCAGCAGCAGGGGAAGGAGGGGGAGGGGTTCCAGTGGTGCGCAGCGCATCAGGCGGAGCAGCAGGGCTGGGCGGGTTAGTTGGGGGAGCGGCAGTGGACAGCGCAGCAGTGCGGGAGTCCGCCAAGGAGGTGCTGAAAAGCGCGGAGAAGCTGCAGGAGAACGCGCGCGCTGCCCTGGGGTCGTTCTTCACGTCGCTCTCTGAGAAGGGCGCGGGCGCGCCTGGAGGGAGTAGCAGTGGCAGTGCGAGCGGTGGGAGTGGGAGCGGGAGCGGCAGTGGCAGGCAGGCAGCAGCAGAGGCGGCGGCAGCAGCAGCGGCTGGGATGCAGCAGCTGTGGCAGTCGTTCTCGGTCTCAGCTGCTCCTGCTCCGGCTGCTGCTGTTCCTGGTGCAGGGAGGGGCAGGGGGAGAGGAAGGGGTGGTGGTGGAGGGAGGGGTGGGGAGAGGCAGGGTGGAACAGGTGGGGTTGGTGCGGGTGCAGAGGGGATCGGAAAGGGGGATGGTAGTGAAAAGGGAGGAAAGACGGGTGGAGGGAAAGGAGAAGGCAAGGCAGAAGGGAAGGGAGAAGGGAAGGTGGCAGCAGCAGTGGTGGCCGGAGGCAGTGTTGCAGGAGAGAGCGCACAGGGAGGAGGAGTAAAGGAGGGCGAAGGAGAGAAAGGGCCAGGGACAGAAACACGGGAGGAGGGGCGGACGGCGGGAGATGCAGAAACGAAGGAAGTGGAGGTGGAGAAAGTGAAGGCGGAAGGAGCGGTTGGGAAGGAGGGGGTGACTCAGAAGGCAGAGAATGAGGGGGAGGAGGGAGGGGAAGCGGGGGAGGTGGGGGACGTTGACGGGGGGGATGACTTAGTGGCGGAAATATTAGAGTGGGCGGCGACAGCAGGGGAGGACGCGGATGAAGATACAGAAGCGGCGTTTGCTGCTGTCATGGATGCCCTGGGTAGTGAGGGCGATGAGGAGGAGGATGGGGAGGAGACCAAGGGTGGCAGTGGGAGTGCTGGTGCTGGTGATGGTGCTGGTGCTGGTGATGATGCTGGTGCTGGTGATGATGCTGCTGGGGAAATAGGCGAAGAGGCAGGGTCGGAGGGAGGAGGAGGAGGCATTAGGCTGAGTTCTGCTGACAAGGGGAAAGCGATTGCCTCAGAAGAGGGTGACGCAGGGGTAGGGGAGGAAGAGGCAGAGGCACAAGAACAGGCAGAGAAAGAGGCAGAGAAGCAAGCAGAAGCAGAGGCTAAAGCACAAAGGCAGGCTCAGTTAAAGGCTGAGAAGCTGGCTAAGGCACAGGCGACAGCTCGTGCACAGGCGCAGGCGCAGGAGCAAGCAGCAGCTGCAGGCGCAGCAGCGGCAGCGGCAGCAGCAGCAGCCGCCGCGACTGCAAGCCAAGCCCTTGGGTCTTTTACTAAGGGATTCATGGAGGGTACAAGGGGGTGGGTGGAGGAGAGTAAGAAGGGTTTATTGGATGGGACTAAAGGCCTGGTCGAAGGGACTAAGGAGCTTGTAGGTGAAGGTACTAAGGGGTTTGTGATAGGGACGAGAGGGTTGATGGAGGCGACTAAAGAGTTGGTGGAGGAAGGGAGGAAGGAGATTGTTGAAGGGACGATGGAGTGGGTCGAAGAGGGGAAGAAAGGGATTGCGGGCGGTACGAAGGTGTTACAGGACGGTTCGAAGGTGATTCAGGATAGGACGAAGGGGCTGGTGGAGCGGTCGCAGAGTGCAGCAAAGGCGATACAGACGCAGGCGAAGCACATGGCGTCGCATGGCAAGAGGCGGTTCCAGCAGGGCGGGTTTGACCTGGATATGACTTACATCACTGCTGGGGTCATTGCCATGGGGTTTCCCGCTGGGGGCGACGTGAATGCCGGCATCATGAGCATGGTGGAGGTGGGTTTGGATGGGTAGTACGCGTGCGCGCGTGCATGTAGTGGTGCATATATGGCTGCGTGTGTCGGTGCGTGTGGTGGCGCATGTGTTGCGGTATGTGTGGACTGGCGTCGCATAGCAAGAGGCGGTTTCAACAGGGCGGGTTTGACCTGGATATGACTTACATCACTGCTGGGGTCATTGCCATGGGGTTTCCCGCTGGGGGCGATGCGAATGCCGGCATCATGAGCATGGTGGAGGTGGGTGCTGTGTTGGTGTGACCATTGGGTATGCGTGATGGGCATGTGTAGAAAGTGAAATTTCTGATACGTCTCAAAGATTCATTTTCTATCCGTGACTGCTGGCGGCGATGCGAATGCCGGCATTATGAGCATGGTGGAGGTGGGTGCTGCTTGAGTGTGACCATTGGGGATGCGTGATGGGCATGTGTGCATTAAGACTGTTTGTTGCACGCACGAATGCCGGCATCATGAGCATGGTGGAGGTGCGTGATTCTATGGATGGATGGAGTGTGCATGAATACTCTTTAATGCCTACAGGAATGCAGAAGTGAGTGCAGGGGTCACAGGCAGGTTTCACTTCCTCAACATATCCATGTTTCCTCCTCAGTACCCAATCTCCCTTCTCTCCCGCTCCCTACTCCCACTCTCCCCTTCCTCGCTCGCTGCATGCGACCAGGGTCTATACTGCAACCATGTCACAGACGTGGTTCACTTCCTCGAAAATTATCCATGTCCCTCAGTGCCCAATCTCCCTTCTCTCCCCTCTCTTCCCTCTTCCTCTCCACCATCTCCCCTTCCTCGCTCGCTGCATGCGACCAGGGTCTATACCGCAACCATGTCACAGACGTGGTTCACTTCCTCGAAAATTATCCATGTCCCTCAGTGCCCAATCTCCCTTCTCTCCCCTCTCTTCCCTCTTCCTCTCCACCATCTCCCCTTCCTCGCTCGCTGCATGCGACCAGGGTCTCTACCGCAACCATGTCACAGACGTGGTTCACTTCCTCGAGACGTACCCATGCGCCTCAACACCCAATCTCGCTTCTCTCCTGTCTCTCCCCGCTCCCTCATCTCTTCTCCCTGCCTGCCTGCCTGCCTGCATGCATGCGACCAGGGTCTCTACCGCAACCATGTCACGGATGTGCTTCACTTCCTCGAGACGTACCACAAGGTCTGCTCAAACTCTCACTCCCGCTCCAGTGGTTCTTACTCTAGTGCCTCTCACTCTGGTGACTCTTTCTCTAGTGGGACGCTTTCCAGTGGCACTTGATTAATAGAGTGGTGCTTAGCTTTGTTCTTCGCTTTGTTGGCCTATCTTGTTTCTGATACTCTAGTACCACCACCTCGTCATGTCCCTCCTGCTTTTGCTCACACTGCTACCGGGTGTTTTTGAGAATTCTCAAAAATACCCTACTCTAGTACCACTGACCACCTCGTCATGTCCCTCCTGCCGTTGCTCACACTGCTATCCCCCTCACCCCCCAGGGTCCCTACATGAACATCAACCTGTGCTCACATCACAGCCCTTGGACCAGTATGGCCCCTCAATCTTCCACGGTCGCAGGGGGAGCCTAGACTACTGGGTGTTAGCCCAGGCTCTCTGCCCCATGCTCTGCCTCCGCTTCCCTAACCCATGTTTGCTTCCCTTGTAACCCTTTCTGCTCGCTCACTAATCCCAGGGTCGCTACATGATCATCAACCTGTGTTGAGAGCCCCTCTACCAGTACAACCCTTCAGTCTTCCGTGTTGGCATGGGGGCTACTGGTTCTAGAAACAGGCACTCTGCCACATTTCTGTGCCCTGAAATTCAGTTCCGTTTAAACCCCCCAACCCCTATCCCCAGGGTCGCTACATGATCATCAACCTGTGCTCAGAGCCTTTGTACCAGTATGACCCATCTGTCTTCCATGGCCGTGTGGGGGCTTACTGTTATTAACCCAGAACCTTTGAGAATTCTCAAAAGTCACTCCAATATGAATGAACCTCATGCTCTATTCCCTCACGCCCCTCAGTACGATCCCTCAGTCTTCCACGGCCGTGCGGGGGCGTACTGCTGCTAACCCAGAACCTCATGCTCTATTCCCACACGCCCCTCACCCCGCAGGGTCGCTACATGATCATCAACCTGTGCGCAGAGCCTTTGTACCAGTACGACCCATCGGTCTTCCATGGCCGTGTGGGGGCGTTCCCCATTCCCGAGGGGCAGGTGCCTTCCTTTCCTCTCCCCTGTCCTCCTCATACCCCTTCTCTCTCACGCCCCTCACCCCCCAGGGTCGCTACATGATCATCAACCTGTGCGCAGAGCCTTTGTACCAGTATGACCCATCGGTCTTCCACGGCCGTGTGGGGGCGTTCCCCATTCCCGAGGGGCAGGTGCCGCCGCTGCCCATCATCCTAAACTTTTGCTTGACTGCCCGGGCGTGGCTGAGTGCCTCAGAAGATCGGAGAAAGCCGATTGTGGGGGGACGGAAGAGCGAGGAGGGGAAGACAGGTGAGGGGAAGGAGAAGGGGGAGGGGGAGGGGGAGGGTAGGCAGGAGGAGAAGCAGGGAATGAAGCAAGAGGGAGAGGAGGAAGGAAAGGGCAAGGAGGGGGGGCAGAGAGGGTCAGGAGAGGCAGAAGAGGAGAGGAAGCAGGAAGGAGAGGAAAAGGTAAAAGCGGAGGAGATGGTGGGAGGTGCTACAGGAGAGGACGTTGAGAAGGCTGATGCAGGGAGCGGCAGTGGCAGTGGCAGTGTTGCCAATGTTGGCACATCAGGGGGAAATTCAGAAGCAGCAGCATCAGCATCAGAAGCATCATCATCTGCTGCAGCCAGTGTCTACGAGGGCAGCAGCAGCAGTGGTGTGGTGCATGAGGGCAGTACAGCGCAGCATGAGAACAGCCACGAGAACAGCCACGAGAACAGCCACGAGAACAGCCACGAGAACAGCCACGAGAACAGCCACGAGAACAGCCATGAGAACAGCCACGAGAACAGCCACGAGAACAGCCATGAGAACAGCCATGAGAACAGCCATGAGAACAGCCATGAGAACAGCCATGAGAACAGCCATGAGAACAGCCATGAGAACAGCCATGAGAACAGCCATGAGAACAGCCATGAGAACAGCCATGAGAACAGCCATGAGAACAGCCATGAGAACAGCCATGAGAACAGCCATGAGAACAGCCATGAGAACAGCCATGAGAACAGCCATGAGAACAGCCATGAGAACAGCCATGAGAACAGCCATGAGAACAGCCATGAGAACAGCCATGAGAACAGCCATGAGAACAGCCATGAGAACAGCCATGAGAACAGCCATGAGAACAGCCATGAGAACAGCCATGAGAACAGCCATGAGAACAGCCATGAGAACAGCCATGAGAACAGCCATGAGAACAGCCATGAGAACAGCCATGAGAACAGCCATGAGAACAGCCATGAGAACAGCCATGAGAACAGCCATGAGAACAGCCATGAGAACAGCCATGAGAACAGCCATGAGAACAGCCATGAGAACAGCCATGAGAACAGCCATGAGAACAGCCATGAGAACAGCCATGAGAACAGCCATGAGAACAGCCATGAGAACAGCCATGAGAACAGCCATGAGAACAGCCATGAGAACAGCCATGAGAACAGCCATGAGAACAGCCATGAGAACAGCCATGAGAACAGCCATGAGAACAGCCATGAGAACAGCCATGAGAACAGCCATGAGAACAGCCATGAGAACAGCCATGAGAACAGCCATGAGAACAGCCATGAGAACAGCCATGAGAACAGCCATGAGAACAGCCATGAGAACAGCCATGAGAACAGCCATGAGAACAGCCATGAGAACAGCCATGAGAACAGCCATGAGAACAGCCATGAGAACAGCCATGAGAACAGCCATGAGAACAGCCATGAGAACAGCCATGAGAACAGCCATGAGAACAGCCATGAGAACAGCCATGAGAACAGCCATGAGAACAGCCATGAGAACAGCCATGAGAACAGCCATGAGAACAGCCATGAGAACAGCCATGAGAACAGCCATGAGAACAGCCATGAGAACAGCCATGAGAACAGCCATGAGAACAGCCATGAGAACAGCCATGAGAACAGCCATGAGAACAGCCATGAGAACAGCCATGAGAACAGCCATGAGAACAGCCATGAGAACAGCCATGAGAACAGCCATGAGAACAGCCATGAGAACAGCCATGAGAACAGCCATGAGAACAGCCATGAGAACAGCCATGAGAACAGCCATGAGAACAGCCATGAGAACAGCCATGAGAACAGCCATGAGAACAGCCATGAGAACAGCCATGAGAACAGCCATGAGAACAGCCATGAGAACAGCCATGAGAACAGCCATGAGAACAGCCATGAGAACAGCCATGAGAACAGCCATGAGAACAAGCCATGAGAACAGCCATGCGAACAGCCATGAGAACAGCCATGAGAACAGCCATGAGAACAGCCATGAGAACAGCCATGAGAACAGCCATGAGAACAGCCATGAGAACAGCCATGAGATTAGCCCTATAGAGTGGAGTGATCGCATGCTCGTGATTCATTCCAAGGAGGGGCTCGGCCGCACAGGCCTCATGACCTCCTCTCTGCTGCTCTTCCTCAACGTATGTCGTAATACGGCCCAGCAGAGATGTTCTTAATAAAGGTTTTGCCCACTGTTGCATTGCTGCAGTTCGAATCCTTCTTTTTCCGCTCAGGCCTTATGGCGTCCTCTCTGCTGCTCTTCCTCAATGTGCGCCCCTCCCCTGCTGAACCTTCTCCCCTGCCTCTTGCCAACACGAATCTACACAACAGCAGGCGAGGCAATCGCATTTCACATTCCCTCACTCCCGTTCAATTTTCCACCACCCCCCCATCATCACCCCTCCACAGTACTATGCAACAGCAGACGAGGCGATTAACTATTTCAACGCCAAGCGATGCACCGATGGAAAGGCCCTTGTGCTGCCCAGCCAGAAGGTTTGTTCTGCTGCCCTCATTGCCATGCCCTCATTACCATGCCCTCATTGCCATGCCCTCATTACCATGCCCTCATTGCCATGCCCTCATTACCATGCCCTCATTGCCATGCCCTCATTACCATGCCCTCATTGCCATGCCCTCATTACCATGCCCTCATTGCCATGCCCTCATTACCATGCCCTCATTGCGATGCCCTCATTACCATGCCCTCATTGCCATGCCCTCATTACCATGCCCTCATTGCCATGCCCTCATTACCATGCCCTCATTACCATGCCCTCATTGCCATGCCCTCATTACCATGCCCTCATTACCATGCCCTCATTACCATGCCCTCATTACCATGCCCTCATTACCATGCCCTCATTGCCATGCCCTCATTACCATGCCCTCATTGCCATGCCCTCATTACCATGCCCTCATTGCCATGCCCTCATTGCCATGCCCTCATTACCATGCCCTCATTGCCATGCCCTCATTGCCATGCCCTCATTGCCATGCCCTCATTGCCATGCCCTCATTGCCATGCCCTCATTACCATGCCCTCATTACCATGCCCTCATTACCATGCCCTCATTGCCATGCCCTCATTACCATGCCCTCATTGCCATGCCCTCATTGCCATGCCCTCATTGCCATGCCCTCATTGCCATGCCCTCATTACCATGCCCTCATTACCATGCCCTCATTGCCATGCCCTCATTACCATGCCCTCATTGCCATGCCCTCATTACCATGCCCTCATTGCCATGCCCTCATTACCATGCCCTCATTACCATGCCCTCATTACCATGCCCTCATTGCCATGCCCTCATTACCATGCCCTCATTACCATGCCCTCATTGCCATGCCCTCATTACCATGCCCTCATTACCATGCCCTCATTGCCATGCCCTCATTACCATGCCCTCATTGCGATGCCCTCATTACCATGCCCTCATTGCCATGCCCTCATTACCATGCCCTCATTGCCATGCCCTCATTACCATGCCCTCATTACCATGCCCTCATTGCCATGCCCTCATTACCATGCCCTCATTGCCATGCCCTCATTACCATGCCCTCATTGCCATGCCCTCATTGCCATGCCCTCATTACCATGCCCTCATTGCCATGCCCTCATTGCCATGCCCTCATTGCCATGCCCTCATTACCATGCCCTCATTACCATGCCCTCATTGCCATGCCCTCATTGCCATGCCCTCATTGCCATGCCCTCATTGCCATGCCCTCATTGCCATGCCCTCATTGCCATGCCCTCATTACCATGCCCTCATTACCATGCCCTCATTGCCATGCCCTCATTACCATGCCCTCATTGCCATGCCCTCATTACCATGCCCTCATTGCCATGCCCTCATTACCATGCCCTCATTGCCATGCCCTCATTGCCATGCCCTCATTGCCATGCCCTCATTACCATGCCCTCATTGCCATGCCCTCATTGCCATGCCCTCATTGCCATGCCCTCATTGCCATGCCCTCATTACCATGCCCTCATTGCCATGCCCTCATTGCCATGCCCTCATTACCATGCCCTCATTACCATGCCCTCATTACCATGCCCTCATTACCATGCCCTCATTGCCATGCCCTCATTACCATGCCCTCATTGCCATGCCCTCATTACCATGCCCTCATTACCATGCCCTCATTGCCATGCCCTCATTACCATGCCCTCATTACCATGCCCTCATTACCATGCCCTCATTACCATGCCCTCATTGCCATGCCCTCATTACCATGCCCTCATTGCCATGCCCTCATTACCATGCCCTCATTGCCATGCCCTCATTGCCATGCCCTCATTGCCATGCCCTCATTGCCATGCCCTCATTACCATGCCCTCATTACCATGCCCTCATTGCCATGCCCTCATTACCATGCCCTCATTGCCATGCCCTCATTACCATGCCCTCATTGCCATGCCCTCATTACCATGCCCTCATTGCCATGCCCTCATTGCCATGCCCTCATTGCCATGCCCTCATTACCATGCCCTCATTGCCATGCCCTCATTACCATGCCCTCATTGCCATGCCCTCATTGCCATGCCCTCATTACCATGCCCTCATTGCCATGCCCTCATTGCCATGCCCTCATTGCCATGCCCTCATTACCATGCCCTCATTACCATGCCCTCATTACCATGCCCTCATTACCATGCCCTCATTACCATGCCCTCATTGCCATGCCTCATTACCATGCCCTCATTGCCATGCCCTCATTACCATGCCCTCATTGCCATGCCCTCATTGCCATGCCCTCATTACCATGCCCTCATTGCCATGCCCTCATTGCCATGCCCTCATTGCCATGCCCTCATTACCATGCCCTCATTACCATGCCCTCATTGCCATGCCCTCATTGCCATGCCCTCATTGCCATGCCCTCATTGCCATGCCCTCATTGCCATGCCCTCATTGCCATGCCCTCATTACCATGCCCTCATTACCATGCCCTCATTGCCATGCCCTCATTACCATGCCCTCATTGCCATGCCCTCATTACCATGCCCTCATTGCCATGCCCTCATTACCATGCCCTCATTGCCATGCCCTCATTGCCATGCCCTCATTGCCATGCCCTCATTACCATGCCCTCATTGCCATGCCCTCATTGCCATGCCCTCATTGCCATGCCCTCATTGCCATGCCCTCATTACCATGCCCTCATTGCCATGCCCTCATTGCCATGCCCTCATTACCATGCCCTCATTGCCATGCCCTCATTGCCATGCCCTCATTGCCATGCCCTCATTACCATGCCCTCATTACCATGCCCTCATTGCCATGCCCTCATTGCCATGCCCTCATTGCCATGCCCTCATTGCCATGCCCTCATTGCCATGCCCTCATTGCCATGCCCTCATTACCATGCCCTCATTACCATGCCCTCATTGCCATGCCCTCATTACCATGCCCTCATTGCCATGCCCTCATTACCATGCCCTCATTGCCATGCCCTCATTGCCATGCCCTCATTACCATGCCCTCATTGCCATGCCCTCATTGCCATGCCCTCATTACCATGCCCTCATTACCATGCCCTCATTGCCATGCCCTCATTACCATGCCCTCATTGCCATGCCCTCATTACCATGCCCTCATTGCCATGCCCTCATTACCATGCCCTCATTGCCATGCCCTCATTGCCATGCCCTCATTACCATGCCCTCATTGCCATGCCCTCATTGCCATGCCCTCATTGCCATGCCCTCATTACCATGCCCTCATTACCATGCCCTCATTACCATGCCCTCATTGCCATGCCCTCATTACCATGCCCTCATTACCATGCCCTCATTACCATGCCCTCATTGCCATGCCCTCATTACCATGCCCTCATTACCATGCCCTCATTACCATGACCTCATTGCCATGCCCTCATTACCATGCCCTCATTGCCATGCCCTCATTGCCATGCCCTCATTACCATGCCCTCATTGCCATGCCCTCATTGCCATGCCCTCATTGTCATGCCCTCATTGCCATGCCCTCATTGCCATGCCTTCATTGCCATGCCCTCATTGCCATGCCCTCATTACCATGCCCTCATTACCATGCCCTCATTGCCATGCCCTCATTGCCATGCCCTCATTGCCATGCCCTCATTACCATGCCCTCATTACCATGCCCTCATTACCATGCCCTCATTGCCATGCCCTCATTACCATGCCCTCATTACCATGCCCTCATTACCATGCCCTCATTGCCATGCCCTCATTACCATGCCCTCATTGCCATGCCCTCATTACCATGCCCTCATTACCATGCCCTCATTGCCATGCCCTCATTACCATGCCCTCATTGCCATGCCCTCATTACCATGCCCTCATTACCATGCCCTCATTGCCATGCCCTCATTGCCATGCCCTCATTGCCATGCCCTCATTGCCATGCCCTCATTGCCATGCCCTCATTGCCATGCCCTCATTGCCATGCCCTCATTACCATGCCCTCATTGCCATGCCCTCATTACCATGCCCTCATTGCCATGCCCTCATTGCCATGCCCTCATTGCCATGCCCTCATTGCCATGCCCTCATTGCCATGCCTTCATTGCCATGCCCTCATTGCCATGCCCTCATTACCATGCCCTCATTACCATGCCCTCATTGCCATGCCCTCATTGCCATGCCCTCATTGCCATGCCCTCATTACCATGCCCTCATTACCATGCCCTCATTACCATGCCCTCATTGCCATGCCCTCATTACCATGCCCTCATTACCATGCCCTCATTACCATGCCCTCATTGCCATGCCCTCATTACCATGCCCTCATTGCCATGCCCTCATTACCATGCCCTCATTACCATGCCCTCATTGCCATGCCCTCATTACCATGCCCTCATTGCCATGCCCTCATTACCATGCCCTCATTACCATGCCCTCATTGCCATGCCCTCATTGCCATGCCCTCATTGCCATGCCCTCATTACCATGCCCTCATTACCATGCCCTCATTACCATGCCCTCATTGCCATGCCCTCATTACCATGCCCTCATTACCATGCCCTCATTACCATGCCCTCATTGCCATGCCCTCATTACCATGCCCTCATTACCATGCCCTCATTGCCATGCCCTCATTGCCATGCCCTCATTACCATGCCCTCACTACCATGCCCTCATTACCATGCCCTCATTGCCATGCCCTCATTACCATGCCCTCATTACCATGCCCTCATTGCCATGCCCTCATTGCCATGCCCTCATTACCATGCCCTCATTACCATGCCCTCATTGCCATGCCCTCATTACCATGCCCTCATTGCCATGCCCTCATTACCATGCCCTCATTGCCATGCCCTCATTACCATGCCCTCATTGCCATGCCCTCATTGCCATGCCCTCATTGCCATGCCCTCATTACCATGCCCTCATTGCCATGCCCTCATTACCATGCCCTCATTGCCATGCCCTCATTACCATGCCCTCATTGCCATGCCCTCATTGTCATGCCCTCATTGCCATGCCCTCATTACCATGCCCTCATTGCCATGCCCTCATTGCCATGCCCTCATTGCCATGCCCTCATTGCCATGCCCTCATTGCCATGCCCTCATTGCCATGCCCTCATTGCCATGCCCTCATTACCATGCCCTCATTGCCATGCCCTCATTGCCATGCCCTCATTGCCATGCCCTCATTGCCATGCCCTCATTGCCATGCCCTCATTGCCATGCCCTCATTACCATGCCCTCATTACCATGCCCTCATTGCTATGCCCTCATTGCCATGCCCTCATTGCCATGCCCTCATTACCATGCCCTCATTACCATGCCCTCATTACCATGCCCTCATTGCCATGCCCTCATTACCATGCCCTCATTGCCATGCCCTCATTACCATGCCCTCATTGCCATGCCCTCATTACCATGCCCTCATTGCCATGCCCTCATTGCCATGCCCTCATTGCCATGCCCTCATTACCATGCCCTCATTGCCATGCCCTCATTACCATGCCCTCATTGCCATGCCCTCATTACCATGCCCTCATTGCCATGCCCTCATTGCCATGCCCTCATTGCCATGCCCTCATTACCATGCCCTCATTACCATGCCCTCATTGCCATGCCCTCATTACCATGCCCTCATTGCCATGCCCTCATTACCATGCCCTCATTACCATGCCCTCATTGCCATGCCCTCATTGCCATGCCCTCATTGCCATGCCCTCATTACCATGCCCTCATTACCATGCCCTCATTACCATGCCCTCATTGCCATGCCCTCATTACCATGCCCTCATTACCATGCCCTCATTACCATGCCCTCATTGCCATGCCCTCATTACCATGCCCTCATTACCATGCCCTCATTGCCATGCCCTCATTGCCATGCCCTCATTACCATGCCCTCACTACCATGCCCTCATTACCATGCCCTCATTGCCATGCCCTCATTACCATGCCCTCATTACCATGCCCTCATTGCCATGCCCTCATTGCCATGCCCTCATTACCATGCCCTCATTACCATGCCCTCATTGCCATGCCCTCATTACCATGCCCTCATTGCCATGCCCTCATTACCATGCCCTCATTGCCATGCCCTCATTACCATGCCCTCATTGCCATGCCCTCATTGCCATGCCCTCATTGCCATGCCCTCATTACCATGCCCTCATTGCCATGCCCTCATTACCATGCCCTCATTGCCATGCCCTCATTACCATGCCCTCATTGCCATGCCCTCATTGTCATGCCCTCATTGCCATGCCCTCATTACCATGCCCTCATTGCCATGCCCTCATTGCCATGCCCTCATTGCCATGCCCTCATTGCCATGCCCTCATTGCCATGCCCTCATTGCCATGCCCTCATTGCCATGCCCTCATTACCATGCCCTCATTGCCATGCCCTCATTGCCATGCCCTCATTGCCATGCCCTCATTGCCATGCCCTCATTGCCATGCCCTCATTGCCATGCCCTCATTACCATGCCCTCATTACCATGCCCTCATTGCTATGCCCTCATTGCCATGCCCTCATTGCCATGCCCTCATTACCATGCCCTCATTTCCATGCCCTCATTACCATGCCCTCATTGCCATGCCCTCATTACCATGCCCTCATTGCCATGCCCTCATTACCATGCCCTCATTGCCATGCCCTCATTACCATGCCCTCATTGCCATGCCCTCATTGCCATGCCCTCATTGCCATGCCCTCATTACCATGCCCTCATTGCCATGCCCTCATTACCATGCCCTCATTGCCATGCCCTCATTACCATGCCCTCATTGCCATGCCCTCATTGCCATGCCCTCATTGCCATGCCCTCATTACCATGCCCTCATTGCCATGCCCTCATTGCCATGCCCTCATTGCCATGCCCTCATTGCCATGCCCTCATTGCCATGCCCTCATTGCCATGCCCTCATTGCCATGCCCTCATTACCATGCCCTCATTACCATGCCCTCATTGCTATGCCCTCATTGCCATGCCCTCATTGCCATGCCCTCATTACCATGCCCTCATTACCATGCCCTCATTACCATGCCCTCATTGCCATGCCCTCATTACCATGCCCTCATTACCATGCCCTCATTACCATGCCCTCATTGCCATGCCCTCATTACCATGCCCTCATTGCCATGCCCTCATTACCATGCCCTCATTACCATGCCCTCATTGCCATGCCCTCATTACCATGCCCTCATTACCATGCCCTCATTGCCATGCCCTCATTACCATGCCCTCATTACCATGCCCTCATTGCCATGCCCTCATTGCCATGCCCTCATTGCCATGCCCTCATTACCATGCCCTCATTACCATGCCCTCATTACCATGCCCTCATTGCCATGCCCTCATTACCATGCCCTCATTACCATGCCCTCATTACCATGCCCTCATTGCCATGCCCTCATTACCATGCCCTCATTACCATGCCCTCATTGCCATGCCCTCATTGCCATGCCCTCATTACCATGCCCTCATTACCATCCCTCATTACCATGCCCTCATTGCCATGCCCTCATTACCATGCCCTCATTACCATGCCCTCATTGCCATGCCCTCATTGCCATGCCCTCATTACCATGCCCTCATTACCATGCCCTCATTGCCATGCCCTCATTACCATGCCCTCATTACCATGCCCTCATTACCATGCCCTCATTGCCATGCCCTCATTACCATGCCCTCATTACCATGCCCTCATTACCATGCCCTCATTACCATGCCCTCATTACCATGCCCTCATTACCATGCCCTCATTGCCATGCCCTCATTGCCATGCCCTCATTACCATGCCCTCATTACCATGCCCTCATTACCATGCCCTCATTACCATGCCCTCATTACCATGCCCTCATTACCATGCCCTCATTGCCATGCCCTCATTACCATGCCCTCATTACCATGCCCTCATTACCCAGATTTTGCACCAAAGTGACTCAAGATTTTGCTCCAAGTTGTTTTTATTTTTTTGCTCCCCCCATCTGCCTCAGAAGCCACCTCTCCTCTCACCTGTCCTCACATCGTTTTCTCCCTCTCCTCACACACCCCTCCGTCAAACCACTCCTTCACACCAGCGCTATGTGAAGTACTTTGAAGAGATTCTCAGGGTTAGACCCCGTCTTTGTACCGCCTTGCACCCCTGGTCACCCATGTGTATCCCGCACCACTCCTTCACACCAGCGCTACGTGAAGTATTTTGAAGAGATTCTCAGGGTCAGGCACGGAATCATCCCTGCACCCCGCAAGTAAGTACACAGTCAGGATTAAGCCATTTGACTTATGAGTCGACTCACAAGTCAACACAGTCAGGATTAAGCCATCTGCACACAGGAATCACACATCAACGCATTTCGTGAGTTACCGGTAGCAGAAAGTCTTCCCTCACAATAAATGAATCAGCTCATATCAACCGATTCTAATATGAGCCATGCCAGATTCTGGTTTCGCAATGAGCCAGCCTAGTGGGATTATTTGTGCAACCGAATTCGATCCGACCGCATCCAATCCCGTTGTGCCAGGTGTCACATCCGTGGCCTTCGCATTCATCGCTGCCCCTACTGGGTGCGACCTGCCATTGTCGTCTCCGACCAATCAGGTGCATTCACGTGTCATGCGATTCTGCAGTGTTGATCACTTTCAAGCGATTTCCCATGCCGAGTATGTACATGATTAAAATGCCAGGATTCCCGATTTGAATGGGTTTTGAATTGTTCCAAACCTGTCTCCATCCCCGACATGCGTTGTTGTGGCGGCAGCAATGCCAGCTGTCCCCTTAAGTTTGCTCAGGCTTTGTCTCTTTTCTGGACTTCCGTGGCTGTGTTTCCTGCCAAGCGTCCTCTGGCTTCAAGGCGTCTCAAATCACGCCGCCTTTTTGTTTCTTGACATGCATGGTTGTGGCGATGCCTGGCAGGTGTTCTTTTCAACTCACGCAAGCATCCAAAGACGAAAGACTTCATGGTGAGAGCCCTAACTGTCTCTCTTTTGTGCGCAGAACCCCATTTTTTTCTGAAAAGGAAGGGAATAAGAAATATGTGTTTAAAGGCCACATGAAGTTCGTTAGCACAAGCTACCTTGTAGCTACGTTTCTCTCACCTCTGAGAATTCCCAACCCTTCTCTCCATAGATAGGAACCCTCACCATCCTCCCCCCCTCTCTGCTGCCGTCCGTCCCTCCACCAATAGCCGGATGACATGTGGCACCAGTCGACACAGAGGGAGGGCGTGGTGGTGTTCGCCCTGCCTGGCGAGCGTGGATTGGCCCCCGTGGAGGGCGACTTCTGCCTCAAATTCATCGACCGCAACGGAGAGTTCTACTGGTGAGAAAGGGCCTTTCTCCACATGCCCTTGAGGAGTATGAGGCAGGGTTGAGCATCGAGGCATCGCCCCTGTGGAGGGCGACTTCTGCCTCAAATTCATCGACCGCAACGGGGATTTCTACTGGTGAGAGGACACTAGGGGTAGTAAGGAAAAGAAGTAGTAGGGAACAAACAAGGGGTCTTCGCGCTGCCTGGCGAGCGTGGAGTGGCCCCCGTGGAGGGCGACTTCTGCCTCAAATTCATCGACCGCAACGGAGATTTTTACTGGTGAGATAGTAGTTTTCTTCATGTCAGCCACGACTGCCAACATCGTTCTCGTTCCCTTCACCTCTGACCTCCCTCCCTCTCTGCCTCATCACCTGTAACCCTCCTCTGTGCTGCGCCCCATGTTAGCAGTTATGGCTGACGTGCTTTCCAACATCGTTCTCGTTCCCTTCACCTCTGACCTCCCTCCCTGATGTTAGCAGTTATGGCTGACGTGCCTCCCTCCCTGATGTTAGCAGTTATGGCTGACGTGCCTCCCTCCCTGATGTTAGCAGTTATGGCTGACGTGCCTCCCTCCCTGATGTTAGCAGTTATGGCTGACGTGCCTCCCTCCCTGATGTTAGCAGTTATGGCTGACGTGCCTCCCTCCCTGATGTTAGCAGTTATGGCTGACGTGCCTCCCTCCCTGATGTTAGCAGTTATGGCTGACGTGCCTCCCTCCCTGATGTTAGCAGTTATGGCTGACGTGCCTCCCTCCCTGATGTTAGCAGTTATGGCTGACGTGCCTCCCTCCCTGATGTTAGCAGTTATGGCTGACGTGCCTGCCAACATCGTTCTCGTTCTGTTCCTCCCTGCCCTGCCCTGCCTGCCTCTCTCCCTGACTCTCCCGTTTGTTGGCCCTACCCTTCTCGTCCCGTATTCCCCAGCTACCTTAACACAGGCATGATCCCAACCAGCTCCCCATTCGCTGCCCTGTGTCGCTCCTCTTTCCCTGATTCTCATTTGTTGATGTCTTCCCTCCTCTTTCCGTTTCTCTCTTTTTGTCCGGTTTCCATTTTATTGGCCCTCCTCTTCTCGCCCCTTTCCCACATTCCCCAGTTGGCTTAACACAGGCATGATGCCCAACCGCCTTGTCATTCCGTGTGAAGAATTCGACAACTTTGACAAGGTGAGGGGCGCAGCACAGAGGAGGGTTACAGGTGATGAGGCAGAGAGGGGGGAAGCGGGGGAAGAAGGGGAGGGGTACAGGGAGTGAATGAGGTGGGTGGGAGAGATCTAGAAATGAGCTGTAGCCATGACGCTCCCCTAGCGCACCCAAAGCCTTCAAACATCTCGCTAATCCTCTCCTCTCCTCTCCTCTCCTCTCCTCTCCTATCTTAACCGCAGCGCCGTCTTCCATCACCTGGGTTGCAAGTGGATTTTATTCTGATCGACCACGATGCCCCCTTGCAATGCATTGACCCACTCTTGCATCTTCCCCCTCCCTCCCCCACCTTCCCCCCCCCCTTCTCCGCTCTCTTTCCCTTGCTGCTCCCTGGAGCGCTGTCTCCCATCACCTGGCCTGCAAGTGGAGGTTATTCTGCAAGACCACGACGCTCCCCTGCCCCGTAATAACCGTCTCTTGCATTTTCCTCCTCCCTCCCGCTCCTCTCCGGCCCACCCTTCTTCCCTTGCTGTTCCCCTCAGCGCCGTCTCCCCTCGCCCGGGCTGCAAGTGGAGGTCATTCTGCTGGACCACGACCCCCCCCTGCAATAACCCACTCACGCATCGTCCCCCTCTCTTCCCCACCTCCCCACACCCCGTCCCCTTCCCCCAGCGCCGTCTCCCCTCGCCCGGGCTGCAAGTGGAGGTCATTCTGCTGGACCACGATGCCCCCCTGCCGCAACCCAAGAAGAAAACCCCCGCTACTGCTGCTGCTGCTGCTGCTGCTGCTGGTACCACCTCATCGGCTGCTGGTTCATCTGCTGCTGCTGCGAGATCAGCAGCAGCAGGGAAGGGCGCAGGATCAGATGCCAAGGGGAAAGGTCTGGCTTCTGCTGCAAGTGCTGCCAGTGCTGCTTCCAAGCCTGCTCCTGCTGCCACCAAGGGTGAGTGAAACAGGATGAGGGGAGTGCTGTTTCGTCTGTTGCTGCTGCACCCTCCTCTCCTCCCACACCCCCAGCCTCCTCAGGGCTCTTCCTTGCAGCCTCCTTCGAGAGCTTCATGATGAGAGCTACAGCCACACTTCTTTTTGAGGCACTGTAGACATGTCTCAAAAACACCCTCCAATATTCCCTTCCCTTCCATTCTCCTCTCCCTTCCCTCCCACCCCCAGCCTCCTCAGGCTTCTCCCTCGCAGCCTCCTTCCAAAGCTTCATGATGGGAGCAACAGCCAAGCCCCAGGCAACTCCCCAGCAGCAGCAACAAAAGGCAAGGCAGCAAGCACCAGCGTCGTCCTCAGCCCCAGCTGGCTCTCGAACCGCTGCTGCTGGCGGCACTGGTGCTCGTGCTGGTGCCGGTGCTGGTGCTGGTGCTGGTGGTGCTGGTGCTGGTGCAGGGGGGCCAAAACACTCACTTGAGGGCAGTAGTGGTACCGGCAAATCAAGAAAGGCAGAGGAGGAGGAGGATATGCACCCAGACATCTTCAGTGACAGTGATGATGATTATGATGAGCGAGGGGAGGAGGAGACGGAAGAGGTGGGGACTGGGCGTGGAGCAGGTGGAACAGGGAGGGTGGGGAAGGAGAGGAGGGAAACTCCTCCGCTGATCGGTCTCGAGGAGGCTCCTGGTGTTCCCTCACCTGCAGCAGGCGTGGCAGCAGCGGCAGCAGGAGGCACAGCAGCAGCATTGGGGAGAATTGGGTCCCCAGCGGGCTCTGGCCTGAGCCTGACCTCCCTGGGAACAGCAGCAGCTGGTGCTGCTGCCAGCCCAGCAGCGGCAGCAGGAGCAGGAGCAGCAGGAATGGCTGGGAGAACCTCGTCGCCCCTCCGTGGCCCGTCCAACCCGGTAACCGCTGGTAACCAGGGCATGGTAACCAGCCCAAGCCCGAGCTTCAGCCCCAGTCCCAGCCCGTCTCTGTCTGCTGTGGCTGCTGACCCATCTGCTCTCTTCATGGGAAGCCCTCTGCGTAATGTGTCAAGCTCTGGGACACAGGCAGGGGCAGGGGGTGTGTTAGGGGCAGTGACAGGTGCAGGGGCAGGGGCAGCTAATTCTGCTGCTGCTGCTGCTGCAGGTTCTGCCAGTCCTGCTGTTAAAGCTGCTACTGTAGCAGTAACAGCAGCCAAGCCAGGAGCAGCGGCAGCAGGGGTGGGGGCAGGGGAGAGCAAGGAGAAGGACCTTCAGTTCTTTGGGCCGTCGAGTGACTTTGCCATTGCTGCTGCCAGTGCTGCTGATGCTTCAGTGTTCTCCTTTGGAGACGACGAGGATGATTTGGAGGATTTTTAGGAGCTGCCGGGCAGCTGCTGAATGGATCCTGGTAGTGAAACTTCTGCAGGGAGATGGTGGAATTGATTCTGTAAGCTAGTGTGAAAGTTGAACTTAACATCACTTAAGTGCGTCGCTACACTAGTTTTGAGATTGACAAACGAGAATACATACCCTAGTTGAGTCAAGCAAAAGCGCTTATCATTACCCCTAGCAGCATCGACTGTACACAATAAATCAAGCTTCCTGATTTGAAATGAAGGCGTTTTCTAAATAAATCATGACATCAGGCTCCCTCATTTGAAGAACCCCTTGCGGCGGCCAAAAAACCCCTTGCGCTTATACTTGTGCTTATAATGGTGGTGCCCGTAACCATGATGCCCATGGTGGTGTACCACAACCGGGGGAGCCCCATACCCATACGGACCAGTAGGAGGGGGAGGATACCCATAGGGCGCAGGGGGGTAATGGCTATGACTATGCCCATGCCCAGCATATGCTGCTGCTGTTCCCACCAGCGCTCCCACTGCTCCCAGCACAGTGTTTACCGAAGAGGAAACGCTAGGAGGCTTGGAGTAGGCAGGAGGGGCGGTGTGGGCAGCAGGGTAGGGGGAGGGTGCGCTCTGGGGGTAAGGGGCAGGGTAGGAGGACGCAGGGGGGTAGGGGGAGGCGGCTGGGGGAGGGTAGGCGGATGGGGGAGGGGCGGAGGAGGATGGGGGAGGGTAGGCGGATGGGGGAGGGGCGGGGTGGCCTGGAGCGGGTGGGTAGGGGTTTGGTGGGCCGGATGGGGGCGGGTAAGGTGACCCTGCAGGGTATGCTGGGGCTGGGGGGTATGGTGCGGTGGGGTACGGTGCAGGTGGGTATGATGATGGGGGGTATCCTCCAGGTGCCCTAGCCTGGGGTGGGGATTTGGGGGGGGGTGGGGGGGGTGATGGGTGGGGGTGAGGGAGAAGAGAGGAAGTGGTGAGATGGGTTGGGGAGGAAAGGGAAAGCGATTCGATATGGAATGGTTAAGCAGAAAAGCAAGCATTGGCATAAGCATGAGCAGAGAAAAGTGAATGGGGGAAGATGAATGGGGGAAAAAAGGGTGGGCGACGGGAAGGGGAAGTTGACAGGGACAGGGGAGGGGGGAAACGGGAAGGGGAAAGGGGGGCCTGCACTTACCCCAGGAGCTTTGATAATCAAATGAAGGCTGCCACGTTGCCTGCAAGGACAGACAAAATCGGGAAGAGTGCCAATCACAGGAAATCACATTAGAGAAACTACACAGCAAAGGCAGTGGCAACAAATAGTCAACCAGGCAACATAAGCGAGACATTAGGTGTGTTCAGAACACCCAGCATGTTTGAAAACCTCTTGAGGCCACGGAAAACGCATGACAACAAAAACTACAGTCAATTCACAATAACTACATCAACAGTGAATACTCACTTCTGGCTCTTGGTGTAGACGGGGTGCCACATGTCCCACACGCCCATGGAGAACGCCTGGCGGAAATTCACCCGGCAGCTGCCAATCACGTCGTCGCGCCCCAGGTTGTCATTCCACAGCACCGCAGAGAACTCCTCTACACCGGGCAACAACTGCAGGTGGAACGTGGAGTTGAATGCAGGGGTAGTGCCGCCATCTGCGGGGAGGAATGGGTGGGGGATGGGGGTAAGTAGAGGGCGGGAGCACCGCTGAGAACTCTACACCTGCAGCAACTGCAGGTGGAATGTGGAGTTGAATGCAGGGGTGGTGCCGCCATCTTAGCAGATTGAAAGCGACGGGGAATCGGGAGGGTGGGTGGCGAGGTTGGCGGAGTTGTGGGGGGGGGATTGAGGGTAAGGGAGAGCGGGAGCGGGAGAAGGGAGTGGGGACAAGGATGGGGGAGGATCGGGATGGAAAGGGAAAGGATAGAAGCATCTGTGATAGTAACAACAGCGTCGTTTTCCAAGGAGCACTCTTTCGGTTTCACAAAAGCACAAGTCACAAGTTACAGACGATTTCGTTACACCGCACCATCCAATGCTTGCGTGCACCCGAATCCCTCGCACACACCTCAATCTTTCACGCACACCTTGTCGCACATACCCACGACCTCTCGCACATTCCCAACATTACGCGCCCGCGTCCGCGCCCGCGCCTGCGCCCGCACACGCACGCACGCGCGCACATCCTTACACGTATCGCCCATACCACAATCTTTCGCGAATACCTTTATCTGTCTTGGTGCGGAACCGTTGCGAACCGTACTCCACGACGACGTACGGGTCCTGCTTCGTGAAGAGCTCCTTGTCCTTCAGACCCGACGCTCCCACCACTGGCGGAGAAGGACAGAAGAGAAGGGGATCCCAGGACAGAGGGAGGATGGGATATGGACGAGACAAGACGAGACGAGACGAGACGAGACGAGACAGGATGAGACGAGACAAGTGTGAGACGCCTCAGAAAGAGCTCCTTGTCCTTCAGACCCGACGCTCCCACCACTGGCAGGTAAAGCAGCACGCACCAAGTTTCGCGGATAGGGAATAGGCGCGGATAGAGGATGGCGGAAATACGGGAGGCGGAGATAGGGGGGAAAGACAGTTGAGACACGACGAGACGAGGCGCGTCAAGACGACAAGAAGGAAGCGATTTAGGGGATGCAACTGCGGGAATGAAAGCATAAAAAGACTCAAAAGCTGAACAGGACTCAAACTTAAAGGGTGGCGTATATTCGGCACACGAGCAGGAAACTACAGGTGACATTTCAAAAGACTGTCCAGCAAACTCTCCAGGTGACTCATTCGAGGTGACTTTTGAGTCGACCCAAAAGTCACTTCTGACATTTCGAAAGACTAGCCAGCCAACTCTTCAGGTGTCTTATTCAGGTGCTCCCTGAGTCCGTCTCAACCTCCGACCCAACGACCAGGAAGAAAGCCTGGATTCGAGCACTCGGACTCACCGGTGAGCTCCAACACGCCGCTCATGGCGGCTCGTGATGGACCAAGCTGCTACTTTAGAGTGCGCTTTGAAGCGAAATGCGAGACCACAGTCGAGTGCGCTTCCAAGCTACTACTGTAGTTTACCCTGGCGAATCGCTTCAGAGCACTTTACGACGGGCCAGTTACAACGCCAACCACCCTCCGGCAGCAGTGGCAGCAGCAAGGCTAGTCACACCAAGCTTAGTTGCTCGCCAATAAGTGACTAGGTCACAGGAGCAGCAGAAGCGGCAGCATGAGGTGAAACTGGAATTCTGGACTGGAAGTGGGGTGGGGGTAAGCTGGGTTGGGTTGGAACTTGGAATGCCTAGAGACCTCCGCGAATTGGGGAAGATATCAGAGTTTCGCTCATTCCCCCCCCGACCCGAACCCACACCTTGCTTCGGTCGGCACGGCAACTTTTTTTCGTCTGACGCGGCATTTTTCCACGCTAGCATGTGAGCCCGGTTTGGGAGGAAAGTGGCGGGCTTTTCTCTGATTTGACACGAACCTTTTTCCACACGTGTCTCCACATGTTCGCTGCATCTTCACGTCTGCACCTCAGCAGAAACCTGGTTTCAACGACCGCTAACGCTCCGTTACAGACATCAGCAACATATAAAAGAATCAAGTGCACGAAACAAGATGTGAAGACACCTAATATTACACCATGCTGGCTAGTGCAAGCTTCCTTGCATCACTAATGCTAATTTATGCTCATGCCTATCCACAAGGTTGAGTGGAGAGCCTGCTCGAATTTAGTAACAATAACATCTCCTAGACCTCTAAAATGTAACTCAGGAATCCCATCGTAACTCCTCCTCTTGCCCCTCTTGCAATATCTGTCGCATCTTTCGTACCAACTCGAGCTTCTCCTCTCGACTCCCACTGACCAATGTAAAAAAAAAAAAAAAAAAAAAAAAAAAAAAAGCAGAGCAAATGTGTGAGGGGACAGCGCAGGAAAACAAAACAACCGTAAACAACAACCACCCACTAAAAGCTCCTATAACCAAGTCAGCTCACCAAATCAACCCGCGACCATCACTCATCATCTCACCCTTCGTTTGGCGGTAACACCCCACCGCCACCCGAGTTACTGCCACCGCTGCTGTGGCTGTTGTGTTGAGAGCCTTTCTGGTGTGACCCGCGGTTGCTGCCGTCATCGTCAGAGGCGGTGGGGGAGGAGCGAGAGGAGGAGGACTGGGCCGCTTGGCCCTGGGATTGGGACTGGTTCTGGTGTTGGTGTTGGGAATGGGATTGGGATCGCTTCTGTTGAGCAGCAGAGGGTATCGAGCTGTAGTCTTTGTCTGCTCACATGATTGGGCAGCAGCACATAGGGCAGAGAAATGGGCCAAGGATTGAGCAGTGAACTGGGCAGGGGAATAGGAAATATCAAGTGGGATATGGCATTTGGCATGTGAGATGAGACATGTTGGATGTGGCATGTGGCATGTGGCATGTGGCATGTGGCATGTGACATGTGACATGTGACATGTGGCATGTGGCATGTGACATCTGGCATGTTGCATGTGACATGTGGCATGTGGCATGTGGCATGTGACATGTGACATGTGGCATGTGGCATGTGGCATGTGGCATGTGACATCTGGCATGTTGCATGTGACATGTGACATGTGACATGCGGCTGTGACATGTGAGAGCAGCGTACCGAGATAGATGGCATGGAGGGCATGGGCAACATCCGCCATGGAGGGGCGGGAGAGCGGGTCAAAGAGGATGCACGAGTGCGCCAGCTCTGCAAAGCGGATCAGCGACGCACTGATGGGCCTCTGCCTCCCGCCACTCGCACTCCCACTGCCACCGCTGCCACCACTGCTGCTGGAGGTGGTTGTTGTTGTGGTGCTGTTGCTACTGCTACTACTGCCGCTGCTGCTGTTGCTCGTGGCACTGACACTGCTTGACCCAGAGCAAGTACCGGCCACCTCTGCACTCGAAGCGTCACCACTCCCACCCGCACCAGCAGCGCCAGCAGCAGCAATAGCGGCAGCGGCGGCGGCGGCAGCAGCGACGGCAGCAGGGCCGGTGGGAGTGGAGCCGGCTTGAGCTGCCAGGACGTCCGGGTCGATCAGCTCGTCCCACCGCTTCTGCTCACACAGTGGAGTCACCTGCATGCAGCACGGAGGGAGTGAGGGAAGAAGGAAACTAGCTGGTATCTGAGAATTCTCGAGAGCCGGCTTGAGCTGCAAGGACGTCCGGGTCAATCAGCTCCTCCCACCGCTTCTGCTCACACCGTGGAGTCACCTGCAACATGGAGTGAGTGAGCAAAGGAGTGTAGTCTGGTATTAAATCTGGCTTTGTTTTCATCGTTCTGTTTACATCGTTCTTGAGCTGGCTTGAGCTGCTAGGACGTCCGAGTCAATGAGCTCCTCCCACCGCTTCTGCTCACAGAGCGGCGTTACCTGCAATAAGGGGCGAGTGAGAGGACGAGCCCAGACTTGATACAAAGGTCCGTTGGAGATAGAGAGAGTGGAAGGGAGGGGGGTACGACGGGGAAAGAGAGCCAATAATAGCAATGTACTGCGAGAATTCACAAGGAAGTTCATGGCAAAGAGTGACAGGGCAGGGTCCATGATGAGATGCTTGAGCTGAAAGAGGTGCTTGAGCTGCTTGAGCTGAACCCAGGGAGAAGCTGTCCAGGGTCTAGGTTTAGGGTCTTACTTGGAACCCTAAAGCCATAGCTACAGGAAGACCTGGTACATCCTAATCTGCAGCTAAAGTGGTAGGGAAACGTACCCAGTGCACGAGCTGCATGCCATCGGGCAAGACAGGGACGCGGCCCGTGATGAGCTCAAAGAGGACCACTCCGAAGCTGGAGGGGGGAAGTAGTGGTGGTAGGGGAATGCGGAGAGGCACATTCGTGTAGGAATGAGGCAACAGCACTTTATGAGTAGGTGGGAAGGACAGGAACACGGCCTTTGATTAGCTCAAAGAGAACCACTCCAAACGCGTCCACACTCCTTTCCCCAACAAGCAACCTCCATCCATTATAGCCGCACCCTCCCTCCAAGCACAGCCTCGTTACAAGCACACACCTGTACCCATCGGTGGCAGACCCGAGCTCTCCAGTCATCAATATCTCCGAAGCCATGTGCCCGTGAGTGCCCATGGCCACATCCACTCTCTCCCCTTCGACCAGCAACTTCCATTCATGGTAGCAGCACCCATGCTACAAACACCCTCACCACAAGCAAGCACCTGTACACCTCGGTAGCAGAGCTGATCTCCCCTGTCATCAAAATTTCCGGAGCCTTGTGCCCATGCGTGCCCATGGCCACGTCCACGCTCTCCCCCAGCTGCTCCAACATCCACTATAAGAACACCCTCGATACAAGCACAGAATCTCTACAAGCACGCACCTGTACACGTCAGTAGCAGAATGATCTCCCCAGTCATGAGAATCTCAGGTGCCGTGCGACCGTGAGTGCCCATGGCAACACCAACGCTCTCTCCCAGCCGCTCCGCCCTCCTCAATACGAGCACAGACTCTCTACAAGCACCCACCTGTACACGTCAGTAGCGGAGCTGATCTCCCCAGTCATGAGAATCTCAGGCGCCATGTGACCATGGGTGCCCATGGCCACATCCACGCTCTCCCCCAGCCGCTCCACCATCCATTGAAACAACATCCTCGATACAAGCCCAACCAAGGGGCCATGTGTGTGCATGACTAGTCAATACCCACCTATACACGTCAGTAGCGGAGCTGATCTCCCCAGTCATGAGAATCTCAGGCGCCATGTGACCATGGGTGCCCATGGCCACATCCACGCTCTCCCCCAGCCGCTCCACCAGCTCCCCCGTCACTGGGTCCTCCACCTTGATGGTCTGCTTGATCAGCTTCGCACACCCAAAGTCCGCCACCTGGAGGGAGAGAGGACGGGAAAGAGAGTGATGAAATAGAGAGAGGGATGGGAGTTGAGGGCGTGTCGTCGCTCCACCAGCTCCCTGGTCACTGGGTCCTCCACCTTGATCGTCTGCTTGATCAGCTTCGCACACCCGAAATCCGCCACCTGAGTGATAGGGGGAAGCAGGGGCAATCATGTGGAAGCAGGATGATTTGGGGTGAAACGAGAGAGAATCGTTATTTTCTTCTGGCCTGTCTGCGGGTCCTGTATGCACCTTGATGGTCCGCTTTATCAGCTTCGCACGCCCAAAGTCCGCCACCTGTGTGTGTGCGCAGGGGAAAGGGAGCCGGAGGAAGGGATGAACCCTCATTGTTGCCCCGTCTGCGGGTCCTCCACCTTGATCGTCTGCTTTATCAGCTTCGCACACCCAGAGTCCGCCTCCTGTGACAAGCGCTGGGGAAGGCTTTTGAGGCGCCTCAAGAGTCCGCCACCTGTGACAAGCGCTGGGGAAGGGGGAGGTTTGGCGGAGGAAGCGTGTAACCGAAGAGAGGGATGGGATTTTGCTCACGCATCAACATACACCTCTTTGATCCACCCACCTTTGCAGCAAAGTTATCAGTGAGCAGGATGTTGGAGGACTTGATGCCATGTCATGGTGGAGGAGGCTAGCAACAGGAGGGTGAGATGGATGGATGAATGGATGGATGGATGGATGGATGGATGGATGGATGGATGGATGGATGGATGGATGGATGGATGGATGGATGGATGGATGGATGGATGGATGGATGGATGGATGGATGGATGGATGGATGGATGGATGGATGGATGGATGGATGGATGGATGGATGGATGGATGGATGGATGGACGGACGGTCGGACCGATGGATGGATGGAATACTGACACATCAGCATATACCTCATCAATCTAGCGCACCTTGGCAGCGAAGTTATCAGTGAGCAGGATGTTGGACAACATGATGTCATGTCACGGTGGAGGAGGCTTGTAAAGGAGGATAGAGAACTGACACATCAGCACACACCTAATCTTGTCCCTCGATGCACCTTGGCAGCAAAGTTGTCGGTGAGAAGGATATTTGACGACTTGATGTCGCGGTGGAGAATCTGGGGCCTCTGCGAGTGGAGGTACTGCAGGCCCCTCGCCGACCCCACGGCTATCCGCAGCCTCCTCTCCCACGACAGTGGGCCGTTCTCCTCCCTCTTCTTGCCTGGTATGGGGAGGGGAGGGAGATGGAGGAAAGGGTGGGGGAGAGGTATAGGGGAGATGGGGGGAAAGGGTGAGAAGGCTGTGAAGTGATGTTGAGATGTTGCATATGGTCAGTGAGTGAGCTGTTGGGCAGGAACCGACGATATGCACTGTCACATGCAACGGCGGCATCGAGCTACAGTAGCAACTAGCTGTCGCGCTGTGGCGCTGTGGTGCCTGGTGAGTGCCTGGTGAGTGCCTGGTGAGTGCCTGGTGAGTGCCTGGTGAGTGCCTGGTGAGTGCCTGGTGAGTGCCTGGTGAGTGCCTGGTGAGTGCCTGGTGAGTGCCTGGTGATGGCGGAGTGCCAGTTACACCACACACTCATCACTAGCACACTCACCACCACCACCACCACCACCACCACCACCACCACCACCACCACCACCACCACCACCACCACCACCACCACCACCACCACCACCACCACCACCACCACCACCACCACCACCACCACCACCACCACCACCACCACCACCACCACCACCACCACCACCACCACCACCACCACCACCACCACCACCACCACCACCACCACCACCACCACCACCACCACCACCACCACCACCACCACCACCACCACCACCACCACCACCACCACCACCACCACCACCACCACCACCACCACCACCACCACCACCACCACCACCACCACCACCACCACCACCACCACCACCACCACCACCACCACCACCACCACCACCACCACCACCACCACCACCACCACCACCACCACCACCACCACCACCACCACCACCACCACCACCACCACCACCACCACCACCACCACCACCACCACCACCACCACCACCACCACCACCACCACCACCACCACCACCACCACCACCACCACCACCACCACCACCACCACCACCACCACCACCACCAGCAGCAGCACCAACCCACCGTGCATGTGGTCCGTGAGGGAGCCGTTGGGCAGGAACTGGTAGACGAGCAGGCGCTGCTGCGAGCGCATGCAGAACCCAAACAGCTTCACCTGGGGGGGTGAGGGGGAGTGAGGAGAGGGGTGGTGTGAGTGAGGGATGCCAAACGGGGATGGAAGAGAGAGAAGGGGACGTTGGGCAGGAACTGGTAGACGAGCAGGCGCTGCTGCGAGCGCATGCAGAACCCAAACAGCTTCACCTGCCGGGGGGAAGAGAGGGGAGGAGAGGGGAGGAGAGGAGAGGAGCGGTGTGAGAAAGCAATAGAGACGGGTGAGCGGAGGGATCGAGAGAGGGTATAGGAGAACCACCGGGCTAGTGCCTGTCGTGTCTTCCTTGAGCATTTTCAGCTGCTGCTGGAACCCACCTTCTCACAAGCACTTCTCAATCACAGTCTCAACAGATGCTTGTGCGCTCACCAGCTAACTGTCTACGAGCTTATCTCAGCCCTCCCTGTCTCATCAGGTGTTTGTGCTCCAGTCGGCTGAGCAGCTCCAGCTCAATCGTGAACTCCTCATTGCCCTGCGACCCACGTTGACCTTTGAGTCTACTCAAAAGTCATCACCAGGTGATAGCAGCCGCCATCTCACCAGGTGCTAGCTAGGCGCTAGCAGAGTCCTAGGCCCATTCTCACCAGGTGTTTGTGCTCCAGTCGGCTGAGCAGCTCCAGCTCAATCGTGAACTCCTCATCGCCCTGCGACCCGCCCCTTGTCAGCACCTTCACCGCCACCACCTGGAGGGAGGAGAAGAGAAGAGAACATGCGTGGTGGGGGGCGAAAGAGTGTGCGTGGTGTGGTTACACACAGAAGTGACTAATGAGTCCAGCAGCCTGGGGTCGCATGTTTAAAATACAACAGCAAGGTCACACCTTTTTTTGGTTCAGCCAACTGGACTCAACAACTAGAGCAGTGCATCCCAGATATGTGAACGGCACTTAAAGCCCACGTCCCAGATCCTCACCTGTGCTGGCTGCACTGCACGGGCAGCACCCCGTAGTATACCTTCCCAAAGCCGCCCTGCCTGAGCACATTGACAATGTAATTTGTAGCCCCTCTACCGCACTTAAACCCCAAGTGTCTCGAATCCTACCTGCGCTGGCTGCACGGGCAGCACCCCGTAGTACACCTTCCCAAAGCCGCCCTGGCCCAGCACATTGGCCTCGTCGAAATTCCCCGTCGCCAGCTGCGATGGTGGTAGAAAGAGAGCAGAGAGCGAAGGCAGATGTGGGAGAGGGGAGGGGGGGGAAAGAGGGGAGGATGGGGAGAGAGCGAAGAGGGGAGGGAGAGGGGTCAAGGGAGGGAGACGAGAGAGGGGAGGGAGAGGTGGGAGGGGAGGGAGAAGGGAGAGGAGGGAGGGTGCGGAGAGAGAGAGGGCGAAGGGTGATTGTTGTGAGTGTAAGCACGAGTAAGCACGGCATGAACATGAGAGTGAAGCCAAGCATGCTTGCATAGGAGTGTGACTGTGTGTGTGTGTGCACATAAAAGTGACTGCGAGTATGAGTGGGAGTGCAAGAGTGCTTGCCTGGAGCTCAGAGTACTGGAAATGGGTGCGCTTGGGTGCGGGTAGGTCCCCAAAAGTTTTCTCTGGCCGTTCAGGCCCGTCCTTGTGCCTTGAGAGGGTGAGTGACCTGCGGGCATATGATAGGCCAAAAAAGGGAGGAGAATAAAAATATAAAATAGCACTTTTTATGCCCCTTCTTTTGGCATAGCAGGCATAAGGAGCAAGGAGCAATGGCAGGCATAAGGAGCAATGGCAGGCATAAGGAGCAATGGCAGGCATAAGGAGCAATGGCAGGCATAAGGAGCAATGGCAGGCATAAGGAGCAATGGCAGGCATAAGGAGCAATGGCAGGCATAAGGAGCAATGGCAGGCATAAGGAGCAATGGCAGGCATAAGGAGCAATGGCAGGCATAAGGAGCAATGGCAGGCATAAGGAGCAATGGCAGGCAGAGCAGACACATCTTGGCATGGCAGAGATACCATTTTGGTATGTGCCCTTCCCTTCCCCATCCCCACCTTGGCATGGAGGGCATGGAGAGCGAAGGCATGGACCGCTCTTTCTCTGTTGCGGACCGCCCGGATTTGGGCGGTCTCTTCCCCACTGTTGCACTGATGCCCGCCGCCCCCCGTTGCAGTGATGCCCGCCCCTGCTGCAGTGATGCCCGCCCCCGCTGCAGTGATGCCCGCCTAACCCCCCTAGGGCGTGGAGCCGAGGAGCTCACCTTGGCATGGAGGGCATGGAGAGCGAAGGCATGGAGCGCTCCTTCTCAGTCGCAGACCGCCCGGGTTTGGGCGGTCTCTTCCCCACCGTTGCACTGATGCCCGCCCCCGCTGCAGTGATGCCCGCCCCCGCTGCGCTGATCCCCGCGCCTGCTGCGCTCAGCCCTGCCGCGCCCGCATAGCTTATTCCCGCGCCTGCTGAGCTAGCTGTGGTGGGTGGAACCAATGAGGGAGGTTGGGGGCAGGGAGTAGGGGAGAGGAGAGGAAGGGGGAGGTGTGAAGGGGAAGAAAGTTGCCTGCCTCTGCTGCACCCAGCCCAGCTGCACCCAGCCCAGCTGAACCAAGCCCTGCTGCACCCAGCCCAGCTGCACCCAGCCCTGCTGCACCAAGCCCTGCTGCACCAAGCCCTGCTGCACCAAGCCCTGCTGCACCAAGCCCTGCTGCACCCACCCCTGCTGCACCCAGCCCTGCTGCACCAAGCCCTGCTGCACCCACCCCTGCTGCACCCACCCCTGCTGCACCAAGCCTGCCACACCTGCACTACTTATACCCGGCCCTGCTGAGCTGGCTGCGGCGGGTGGGGGCAGAGAGGGAGGTCAGATTCGGAACCAGGTCCTTCCTACTTAGTGAAACCTGTTCCCCTGATTTCCTCTAAATTCCCCAAAAGGCGTACCTGACTTTTTCAAAAGAGTGGTCAGCTTAGGCACCAGCTCCTTGGCCTGCTTCTTGATGTTGCACGGAGACAAATTCCCGTTTGAGAACATGCATTCATCAGGTCCTCCTTTGAAGTGCCTCAACTCAAACGAACTTACATACCTGACTTCTTGAGCAGAGTGGTCAGCTTTGGTACCAGGTCCTTGCCCTGCTTCTTGATGTTGCGAAGAGACAGATTCCTGTCCAGGGAGACCTGCTGCTCTGCCTTCTTCACCTGCAGACTCAGGTTCCGGGCCAGTGCTATCTCTGAAATACCCCCTCCGCCTCCACCTCCTCCTCCTCTTCCATTCCCGCCTGCACCTCTCCTACCAGGCGCCTCTGCACTAGCACCTGGCGCGGCCCCTGCTGCTGCAACCCCTGCACCAGCACTGGCATCAGCACCAGCCCCGGAACCACCGGCAGAAGGTAGAACGCTTGAATCCCCTACTGCGGCTCCTTCTCCTCCTCCTGCTGCTCCTGCTCCTCCTGTCCCCGCCTCATTCTCCCTGTCGTCACCAGCACCCGCTGCTCCGCTAACCAGAGCAGCGGCAGCCACTAAATCGTCTTCCCCTCTCCGCCCACTCCCCACACGTCCCTCTCCGCCCTCCTGCTTGCCCTCCTCCGCCTCCCTCGCCACTCCTCCGCCCAGGCTTGCCCTTGCCGGTTCCGCTCCCCCCACCCGCCCGTCCACCCTTCCTGCGGATTGCTCTCCCCCGCTCTGCTGCTCCGCGCCTGCCTGCGCGGACATCCGCCCTCCTCCACCGTTCTCAACCCCTTGGCTTCTCCCATACGCCCCACGACCAGCAGCCGCAGGCGAGCGAGCACTAGCAGCACCGGCAGCAGAACCAGCAGTAGCACCAGCAGGCCCAGAAGCATCGGCAGCACCGATAGCAGCAGCAGGCAAGCCAGTCAGTGCACCGTCGCGCGGATCACTGTCTCGAGGGCCGAGAGCAGCATAGCCCCGCCCAGGGGATCCATGACCCGGACTGGCACGGCCCCTGCTGGGAGAGGCATGACCTGAACCAGGTGAGAGACGCGCAATGGTAGGAGACATATGCCCGTGACCAGGCGACACATGCCCCAGACTGCCGCTGCTGCTGGAGTGCCCATGCTGCCCATACTGCCCCTGCTGCCCCTGCTGCCCGTACTGCCCCTGCTGCCCGTACTGCTCCTGCTGCCCATACGCCCCGCCGCCATACCCAGAAGCAGGAGAGGCACCACCTGAGACGCCAGGGGCGGCGCCTCTGAGAGGCGAGGAGCAGTCGGAACGACCGGCAGCAGCAGTGTGGAGAGGAATGCGCTCATCCGAGGCTGATGCAGAGACAGCGCCACGTGCTGGGGAGAGGGAGGAGGAGCGGCGCCTCATTTCCTCTAGGTGCCGCGGGGAGTGGAACTCTGGTGGTGGGGTTCTCAGCTGACGGTTGTATCCTGTCTGCTGCTGCTGCTGCTGCTGCTGCTGCTGCTGCTGCTGCTGCTGCTGCTGCTGCTGCTGCTGCTGCTGCTGCTGCTGCTGCTGCTGCTGCTGCTGCTGCTGCTGCTGCTGGGGCGGCTGGTGTTGCTGTTGTGGTTGCTGCTGCAGCGGCAGTTGTTGTTGCTGAACGGGCTGATCTTGGTAGGGTTGTACATGCGGCTGTGGCTGTTGCTGGCGTAGCTGCTGCTGCTGGTAATACTGCTGTTGCTGGTGGTACTCGTTGGGGTATTGCTGCTGGTAAAGCTGTTGCGGCTGCTGCTGCTGCTGCTGCACCATATGATACCCCTGCTGCACATGCAGCTGCTGCTGCTGCTGCAACTCCTGAAACCCACCCCCCACCTGACCGCTCTCCACCATCCATGCACCATCACCCCCTTCCACCGCATCCAGCTCCTCCAAATCATCCACAGCATACGCCTCCAGCACCCCATCCTCGTCGTCCTCCGCGCCCAGCCCGCCGTACATCGCTTCCCCCTGCGCCTCCACCCTTCTCTCCCAGCTGCTTCCCCCCATCACTCCCTGGCCTAACCCCTGCCCTGCACTCTCCCCCGCCGCTTGCCCTATCCCCTGCCCCCATCCCTGCCCTGCCGTCTGCGCTCCCCTCGCCCTCCCCTGCCCCACTGCTGCTACTGCTGGCCCAGCTGATGATGTGGACGCGGATTTTCTCCACCCGCCAGCCGCGGCCTTCTTCCCCGTATTCCCCAACAGAACATCCATAGCAGCGGGCGGAACCGACGTCAAAAACTCCTCCCCGTCGTCGTCCTCCTCCTCCTCTTCCGCCGAATCCGACAGCCCCACAGACGCGGACCGCTGCACTCTCCCCCCGCCCGTGCTGCTCACGCGCGGAACCCCGCGCCTGGCGGAACCCGACCGGCTACGGCTTCCGCTGCGCGGAACGCTGGATCTGCTGCGCCCCACGCTCGAATGACTGGCGCCGCTCGCGTGGCTCGAGCTCGTGTTTCCGCCGCTCTCTCGGTCTCGCTCGCGTTCCCTCTCCCTCTCCCCTTCCCGATACCTCTCCCGATCCCATACTTCCGCCGACCCATCCCAGTGGTCCGGCGTTCGTTCGGAATTCTGTAGGTGATTTTGCGAGTAGGATCCGGGATAGGCTTGTGCATAGGTTTGGGGGAAATCTTGCGGGTAAGGCTCCCTACCGCTGCTACTGCTGCTGATCAGCTGCGAGGGAGCAGGCGAAGAGGACTGATCTTCGTGTGGATGGTGAAGCAGGTAATCTCGAAGCTCTTCCTCCGTGAAATCACCTCCCAGCAGCTCCGCTGTATCGGTGGTTTTCGGGACAGCCGATCGTGACCGTCGGATCTCACGCACGCTCCTGGACGGCTGAGGTTCGGCAGCCGGCACGCGGCTCCGAGGCGCGGACGTTGATGTAGCTTGGCGCCGCGGATCTAGCGCTGCTTCGAGAGCCTGCTGAGGCGCGTAGTTGACTCTTAAATCGGGGCTGCTAGTAACGAGTACATCTGCTACACCTGCTCGCGGGTTGACGCGAACCCTAAACGGCGAGATGCTAGCGGACTGCGGAACTGCAGCTCGCGACGCGTGAGGTAAATACCTCCGTTCGCGGCGCTCCCTGAGGCTCTGCTGACGTGGAAAATCTGTTCCGTGAACGGGTGATTCTCCGAACCCTACGCTCCCTTGACCCATGTCGTACGCGGGTCTCCTTTCCCTGAAGCTCCGCTGACGTGGCACGTCTAGAGAATGTACCGGCGATTCTCCGAATCCGAGGCCGCTGTGTCTGGCCGGCTGTGCGACGGTCGTCGCGCTCTTCGCGAACATGTGATACGGCGGCTCCACGTCAGCACCGTCGTTCGCATCCTGACGGTAATCCACATTCTGACGGTACTGCGAACCCTGACGGTAGTCCAGCTCTTGTCGGCCGGCAACGGTTCCAGATCCGTGATTGTTATCGTTACCGTCAGGTGGACTGTACCCACGGTATTGTTCGGACTCACGGGTGTCTTCGTATCCATGGCTGTCCACCGTAGCGCCGAAGGAACTTGTGCCGCAGGATAGGCTGTCGATCCGTCGTTCTAGAGCTCTCTCCTTGGCTCGCTCCCTCTCTATCTCCCGCGCGCGCCGCCTTGCCCGCTCCTGCTCTTTGTCCCGCACGACCCCCCGCTCCCCGCGCTCCCCCCGTTCCCCCTTCTCCTCCCCGCGCTCCCCCCATTCCTCCCGCACGTCCTCGTGCCGCCTGCCGTCGTACACGCGTTCGCGGAGCGACGACGATCGCGGGTGGGATCGATGGCTGCTGCTTCCTCGCTCGCGCACGCCGTCCATTTCCCCCCGCGCGCTCGGCTGAGGGCTAGACAGGGTTACGCTCCGCGACCCGTACCATTGTGTTGTCAGCGGTTTCTGGGAATTTACCGAATGATTCTGCGAGCTGTTTACTGTGTTGCAACCGTAATGAGAGAATCTCCTATAGAAATATTCAAATGAATGTAAGAGGTATGTTATGACTCAGGCATTCGAGCTGGATTCGCATGCTATCAGGTATGATGTTCCAGGAGTCGGAAAGCGGCTGCTGGTGAAGTACCGGCAAATGCAGCATTGGCAGCTCTAGCACAGAGAAGGTTCTACAACTGAGTAACGAGTACGTCGTGGAGATCATGGGCCTTGGTACTAATTTCCAAAACCTAATATGCTCACCCCAGCGTATGAAGTAGAGTCACCAATGTCGTGTCACCGAAAGACGTCGCAGGAGAAGCACCGCAGACTCACAAAAGGTGCTTAGGTAAAGCATTCCACTACCATTGCCAGGAGGACCATTGCTCAAAACACACTCTACTTGCAGTAACGGTTCAACCCAGCAACAACCATGGCTGATGAGATGGTGTGTATATTCAGGCAGGCGAGCAATAGTAGATTCATCAGTTTCAGTTTCACCAACCTCGCCTTGTTGCCTCACTACCACCATCCTCCCCCAGCCACCTCGAATCATTGGGATTTGGGCGAACCTCGATGTGTGGCTGGGGTGCTTCAATCGAGTCGAAACTCTCGAATTGGTTTGTTGATGAAGAGATGGACGGCGGGATGATCCTAAACAAAAAATAGCTGGGATTCCTCATCCCTGAAACCTGGCAATTTTCGTCTGGGGCAGAGGCACCCTGGTTTGGCCATTGTTTCAATTGGTTTCAAATGGAAATCACGAGCAGGCTGCCCCAACCGCATTGAATTTTGTTGCCCAGAAACAGACAAACCGTGAGAGAGGGGACATGTGATCTGTGAACTTCGCTAATGTGGCTACAAGGGAGATTTCTTCAGGATTGGATGTTACAAATAGATGCGGCTCCCAAACTAGCTTGTAAATTCAAACTACGTGTCATATTTAGGATTTTGAATTGTACCTCTCATATTAGATAAGTGCAGACGACTCAGTCTATACTGCGACAACACTCAGAGTAATCAGTGAAAATAGGGAAAGGAGCTTGGGAGGCCATAGGTGGCAGTGGAGGTGCCTCCTAGTGCAGCTCCTGCGATGGAGTATCCGAGAGCCATGGCAACCGGGACTGATACAGCGTTGCCCACTTGGCAGTACCTGCAAGTGCCAAAACGAGGGACGCATAATGACCATGGTCATACTTGATTTCCCTGCCAAAGCTCGTAGGCCAGACCAATGGAACTTGTAATGAAGCACCCTGCAATTGCATTGTTTTGGTTACTAAGAACATAGATAACTCTTACCGTTCCTTGGCATCGCCGAACAGCTTGTAATGGTCTGGGAAGCCCTGAAGCCGAGCATTCTCCCTCACTGTCAGCACTCGATCTTGCTCCGGGTGAAGAATTTTCTGCAAGACACAGGAGGGAATCCGGTCAATGGCCCACGCAGTTGCTTGAAAGCGCTCGCATTGCCTCAAAACTCGACCAGTTTCATCCCAGGCTCACTATGTCAATTCTTTCGCAAACGCGTATGCCCTCACTTAACATGTCTTTGTGTCAGTTCACGTTCTCTGTGTACCGGACTGCTGGAGTGTCATCCAAAGGCTTTCTGCCTTTGGCTTGCCTGGTTGTGAGGCTCGGGTCGTGTGACAACAGTTGGGACCGTGTCATTCCACCACAGACGAGCAAAGGGCCTGATAAAACAGAAAAGAACGTCAAAGAAAAACAACAGAAAAGGGCAAAACATGGTACACACTTTTTATTATATGGTACAAATATTGACTTTGATGTCATACCTAAGTTTCAGTTCCCTGAACCCGAAACCAACGTGGGATATTGACATGGTAGCGAGAGCAACAAAACAGGGGAGTGTGAGGGAGTGTGAGAGCCAGAGGGCATACTTGAAGGAGGTGCCTTTCACGAATGAGATGGCATAGTCAGGGCACTGCATTGTGAACAGAAAGGAGGAGAGCGAAACGGAGGAGAGGAAGGTGGAGGAGAGCATTGAGTGCAAGAAAGAGTGACCTTTTAATTTGATTGAAACTCAGAAGCATTTCTTTCACCGAAGGCCTGCCAGGGAGCAATTCCTGTTGACAGGGACTATCAGCACCCAGGTGAGGCGAGCAATGGGGTGCCTCCAAACCACAGAAGCGCATCAACTGCTCTCACCAGAGGGCTGCGGGAGTGACTTTCGAGTCGCTTCAAAACACTGCTCTCACCAGAGGACTGCCTGAGTGCGGGATGAACGGGCGGGGCTGGAGAGTCTTGTCCAGAGAGCACTTCTTGGTGACAGGGTCAGTTAGCACTCCTGGCAGGTCGCGGAAACATGCTCCCTGGAATCACCGGAAGGAGAGGGGGAGTGGGTTTGAGGGGAGGGGGGCTGAAGGGAGGAGCACTTCTTGGTGGCAGGGTCCGTCAGCACCCCCGTCAGGTCGCGGAATATGCGGCCTGGGGTGAAACAATTGCGGATGAGAGGAAGAAGGGGGAGGGTGGAGGGAGGGGCGCTGGCACACACCTTTGAAAGCAAAGTGTCAATGGTCAAATTCTGTAGCTGAAACTAATGGGTTGTATGTACAAGCCTTTATGACATCAAAAGCGCCCCCTCGCCCTCAAACTCAAACCACACATTTGCCCTCAAACACGCCCTCTAGCAGGCGCCTCAAAGCTCACCTAGCGCTTGGGAATTCTTTCCACGCGATTGAAGTCATCGGCGTTGAGGTTGTGCGTGCGGTGGTCCAGCAGCTTGGGATTGGCGTCCCACGACCAGGGCGAGCCCGGGCAGGTCGCACCTGGGGGAGGAGCTACCTATTGTTTTGGGGATCTATGCCCGTCCAAGCTCACCTCGCGCTTGGGAATCCTCTCCACGCGATAGAAGTCATCGGCGTTGAGGTTGTGCGTGCGGTGGTCCAGCAGCGTGGGGTTGGCGTCCCATGACCAGGGCGAGTTCGGGGAGGTCCCATCTAGGGGAGGGGGACGGAAGGCTGCACAATAGCAGGGAGAGCAGAAAAGATGATTGAGTCAACTGGCTCTGCTTTCTTCTTGCTGAGCTTGGGGCTCCCCAGCCCTGCCCCACCCTCTACTGTGACAACGCCAGCACCATCCATCTCACTCAGGACCCTCTCTGCCACGGCTGCTCCAAGCACATCGAGTTGCGCTACTTCTTCATCCGCGAGCTCGTTCAGCGAGATCTTCTTGCTGTTCGGAAGATTTCGGGCGATGACAACTTGGCCGACATCTTTCACCAAGGCTCTCCCTCGCCCTGCGCACTCCACACTGCTACGCCTTGTTGACCTTGCTCACTCAGACACCCCTTGGCTTAGCATGCTAAGCCTATTGTGACTATACACTAAGTATGGAGTACAGCTGGTTTGGGACTACACCCAACTTTGGGTGTAGCCTTGCATGTTGGGGTGCCAATCCAACCCAATTGTGGTGGAACCCCTAAATGCAACCCATTGGTCCTTAGGGTAGCAACATTTGGGGAAAATTGCCAACCCAATTTAATGGACCATAGGTTAGCAACACTCCCTTAAGTGTTGCCAACCCAACTCAATGGGCCATAGGTTGTCCCACTTTTCACTAAATGTTGCCTTCTCATAATGAGGCTAATGGTTTACTCTTCACTTTTTGTTCTCACGGTTGGAAGGCCACACAACAACGGGAGGAGGAGAAAATGTAAATTACAAAGCCTAGGAGAGGGTGCGAGAAGGTGTAGGATCAAACGGGCTAACGAGGTCGAACGGAAAGAATGGGAAGATCAATTCAAGCATTGACAAGGAACCGACAAAACGGGCCAATGCTGGTCGAGCTCAGCGTACCGGATTTGGGGAGGCGTATGAATCGCTGGAAGTTGTTGGCAGGTGGCTTGGTGTATTCCATGACGTCCATAGTCGTGGCGTTTGTCACCTGCACAAGTTGAATGTGAGGTAGACTTTTCAGTCAACTAAAAGACCGCGTGTAATGAGTCTGCTTTTGAGTCGACTCGAAAGCAGGCTTGGTGTAATCCATGACGTCCGTAGACATGGCATGTGTCACCTGCACAAGTTGAATGTGAGTTTGGCATATTATGACATGCTAAGGGTTTACCAAAAGGTGGGTGTACACTTGGTTATGGCTGAGCCAAGTACCGGTTCGAGCAGCACCAGCTTGACTTGAACCGGATGCAATAATAACAATAAACATCAATAAACAACAAGCCAGTATAATTGTTCAACAATAAACAACAAGCAGATCACATTATCCCAACAAGTACTGCGAGCTCTCACCGGTGGGAGATCAGATATCACGTCCTTGAGCACGAGTGCCGGCTTCAGCGTCTTCAACACAGGAGACTTCTCCTCCCACCCAACAAAGTTCCTCTGAAACATTATGAACATCGACAAAAACAAACGACGAATTGAGACTCTGGCCACGGTTAAAGAATGTAAGTGTAGAATTGGCCTGATCGTAATGAAAGAATTTCCATGAGGAAATGTCCTTCATCTAAAGCTTGTGTGCAATTACAACCATATCACTCAACATCCAGAGGGTGGGCAAGCAACCTCTCAATATAATAGATTGCGAGAAAAGAGACGAATTTTGAGGCGTGTTTTAAGTCTACTCAAAGCACACCAGGTGGTCACACAGCCTCTCAATATAAATGATTGCGGGATAAGAGACAACTTTAGAGGCGCCTCAAAAGTCACTCACCATCCAGCGGGTGGGCACGGAGCCTCTCTCCTTCGCGACGAGATGTGTGGGTAAGGGAAAGCTTGGAAGCGCCTGCGATGGCAAAGGTGGAGAAGAGAGGAGGGGGGAAGGGGAAGGGAAGGGGGAGGAGGGGAGGGAAAGGAGGGGGAGGGGAGAGAAAGAGGGGGGAGGCGGGGGAGATGGGGGAAAGGAGGGGAATGTGGGGCAGGCACGGGGAATAGGGTGAAAAGTTTTCCTTGACTGCACCGGCAGCACCAACAGCACCAGCACGAACACCCCACCACCACCCCCCCACCCTCCCCCCCGGGTACAACGGGCAAAAATAAAAACATATCAACAACAAAAATCGCAGAATAATATGAATAGTTACATACATGGCCATCCAAAGCGCCGAAGAAGAAAGCTCGGAGGCGAAACTGGGCGACTCCAAAGCACCCGGCTGCAATAATCCCCGTGCGAGACTGCAGAGGTTCAGGGAAGGGGTGACGGAAGAGGTGAAGGATGCGCATGGTGACGACTTTTTATTTGAGTCAACTCAACTCCAAAGCACCCGGCTGCAATGATCTCCGTGCAAGACTGCAGGGGGAGGGGGGGGAGGAAGAAAGGTGAAGAAAAATAGACACGACTGTTTATTGGGCGCCTCGAGAGTTACGTTGGTGCGGAACCGTTGGTGATGTTTGTGACAAACTCCACTCAACGTATTTCGCGATGGTGTATTTGGCGAGACAACCTTCTGCGACATCTCCTCACACGTAACCTCCTGCCTCCTCTCCTCCCCGCCCCATCCCAACTCACCTTGTACCCCATGGCAACAAGGCGGGCGATGGCTTTTGAGGCACCTCAAAACTCACCTCCCTGCTCCCCTCCCGCCCCCCTCCCGCCCCCCTCCCGCCCCCTTCCCCCCATCCCAGCTCACCTTGTACCCCATGGCAACAAGGCGGGCGATGGCGTATTTGGCGAGGATGCCCTCTTTGAACTTCATGAGGTCAACCACGTTCTCCATGAGCACCCACGTGGGCGCCAGCCACCCCACCAGGTCCATGAACACAATCAGCTGCCGGTTCTTCTCACACGCCAGAGGGTCCTCCGTGTTGCGAAACCTGTTGAAGCCGCTCACGCCCTGGCATGGGGGGCCTCCACAGATGATGTCCACATCGCCCTGGCATGGGGATAGGAGAATCGGATATTTTTTTTTAGATGTGAGACAACTCAGGTTGACTCGCCAGCCACCCCACCAGGTCCATGAACACAATCAGCTGCCGGTTCTTCTCGCATGCCAGAGGGTCACTTTTGAGAATTCTCAAAAGTGATTCTCGCATGCCAGAGGGTCCTCCGTGTTGCGAAAGCGGTTGAAGCCGCTCACGCCCTGGCACGGCGGCCCTCCACAGATGATATCCACATCGCCCTGGTGTGGGATTGGGGAGGGTGGAGAAAAGCATTAAGAACAAATGCACTGCAAGGTGGCAGTAACCTGCTTGCACGAGCTGCAGCAACAAACAACCAGGACCTAAGATAGCACCAGCAGCAGCCCTGCACCTTCTGCCAGCAAAAGGGACAGCAGATAGTCCCAGATAGCCTGCTTGCACGAGCTGCAGCAATGAAGAACCAAGAACTGGGAGCAGCTTACCAGCGTCTATGCGCCCCGTACCGGCTGTGGCACAAGTAGCAGCTTCGTCTCCTTGACCTCCACCACATGTGAACGTCCCACTGTTGGTCGCCTTGGCATAGCGTGGCCTGGTATGGTTTGGCGGCACAACAAGTTCTGGTATGGCATAGAGCACTCACCTGAGGCTCTTAAATCGACTAGAAAAGCCACTTCATGTGGCATAGAGCACTCACCTGAGGCTCTCTTCTGCCTCCCAGGTGTCCTCCTCTGGTCCGTACCCCTTCCACTGAACCTGCAGATGAGAGACCAAGCATACCAAACACAAACGAAGGTCAAGGAAATTGAGATTCAGAAATCGGAAGTTGAGGACAATTCAATTTCCTCGACATTTCAACACTTGAGGACATTTGCAGCCCTCTAGTATAGTAGCAAAAGAGAACAAGGGCGGGCCCCCACTCACGTGCTTGCTACAGTTCAACTCACCTTGAAGTAAATGCCAGCTGGCCGTCCCTTCTCCGTGGCAGCAATGTACCTCACCCCGACAATTCGCCCCACCTCAAACTCCCCCTCATCAATCTCCTCATCACTGCTCTCCTCATCTTCCTCCTGTGTCTTCCCACTCGCCTTCCCAGAGCTGCCCTTGCTGGCAGCAGCACCGTTGCACTTCTGCCGCTTGTTCCGGCCTGAGGTCCTCCTATTCCCATCCTCATCAGCCGACGCCCTCCCCTTCCTCTTCCCCCTTCCTTTCGCCTCCACCTCCTCTATCTCCTCTTCTACCTCCTCCGCTATCTCTTCCACTCCTGCAGCCTCTTCCGCATCTCCCATTTCCACCTCCTTGGTGTTTTCCACCTTCGCCTTTGACCCTTCACCTCCCTGCTCCTGATCTTGCTCCTGCTGCTGCTGCTTCTCCTCCTGGTGCTGGTGGTGTGAGTGGTGCACGACCTTGTGTTTGTGAGCAACAGCCTTGCCGCCCTTCTCACCATCCGCATCCATGAACACTGCTGCTGCCGCTGCTGCTGTAGACACACCGTTTTCACCGGAGGACACAGCATAACGCTCCAGCAGGGTCGGCAGCTCTTTCAGAATCGCCAGGAACTCGTCTGCAGTCTCATTGCGCACCTGAGTGAGAGGAGATAAGAGAGGAGAGAGAAGGGAGGGGCGAGCAAAGGAAGTAATGCTGGCGGCCCATCAGAACTAGAGCGTCAGGAATGGCAGCTCTTTCAGAATCGCCAGGAACTCGTCTGCAGTCTCATTGCGCACCTGAGTGGGAGGCGGGAGGGAAGGGGAGGGAAAGGGAGAGGGGGGGGAGGAAGAAAGGCGTTAGCCGAGAGGGGAACTTATGGGAGTGCATCGTTTGGGTGCCTTGAGACCAGCCCAGCAGGAATAGCGGCTATTTCAGCAGCAAAGCTTTATCCGCTTTGCACTACAGAGAATATAGTTGGTTGGACCTGGCAGTGCGGATGGTTGCACGAGCTTTTACTGTTTCACCAACTAGTCGCTCCTTGCAGTGTGGGTGGTTGAATTCACTTGCCAACGTGCACGGCTGTACGCACCTGGCAGAGCGGGTGGTTGTACTTCATGCTCTCGCATGCAGCTGCGTTGAAGTCCACGGACCAGCACTGCATCACAAAGAGCAAGCACAGTCACGGCGGCCACGGAAATTACAGCAATAACAGCAATGTCGTCAGGAGATGAGCTCGTTTGAGAAACATGGCAGAGCGGCAGTAGCGGCATGAGATGGGCTAACGTAAATAGATCAAATTAACATCAGTGTTCGACGGCTAGTTCACTGGTTCCCATGGTACTGCACCTGGTCGGAGGCATGATCTGCAGCAGAAGCCTTTTGAGCTGGCTCAAAACTCACAGTGTCAATGGTGACGCCTCTGGGAGTGCCACCCATCTCAATCCCCGTCGACATGGCACCGCAGCCACTGTACATGTCCAGCATCCTCAGACGCATGGTCTGGGGCGGCAGAGTCACTGTAGCAGGGGCGGCAGCAGCCCGAGCCCCGCCTCCCGAAAGCCGCCCCTTCTTGCCGGCCGATGCAGCTTTGCTCGTCTTCTCTCCTTGGTCCTCCTTCCCGTCCTCTTCCTTCTCGTTCCCCTCGCTTCCTTCCTTCCTCCCTTTCTCTCCCTTTCCTTCCTCTCCCTTTCCTTCCTCTCCTGTGCCTTCTTCTTGCTTCCCTTCTTCGTCCTTCTCCTGATCTCCCACCCCACCCGCACCCTCAACTGCCCCACCACTCTCCACCTTCATACCTTCTTGGCCTTCCTCTTTCTTTCCGTCCTCTCCCTTCCCATTTTCTCCCTGCAATTTTTCGCGCTTTTTCTGATTATCTCCCGTCTCACCAGCATCATTCAATGGCCCCCCACCAGCATCATTCAATGGCCCCCCATTCTCCACATTCATACTGCCTACTGCAGGATCTTCAACCTTCACACCTGCCTTCCCTTCCACCTCCTTCCCTTCGTTTCCCTTTCCACTTTCCCCTTTTCCTTTCTCTCCCTTCCCATTTTCCCCCTTTCCTTCCTCGCCCTGCTCCTGATTATCAACTCCCACCTCACTCACACCCCCCACTGCCCCACCACTCTCCACCTTTACACCTTCCACCGCTGTGCCTTCTGTCTTCCCATCTGCCTTCTTATCTTCCAGCTCCACAAGCTCATTCATCCCCCCTGATCCTTCAGCAGTCTTATTTATACCACACGCCCCTTCGCCTCCCCCTTGTCCCTTTCTGCCCTCCACCTCACCTCCTCCTAGCTTCTTACCGCCCTCACCCTCGCCTTCGCCCTGCCCTTCCCCCGTTTTCACACTCACTCCAACATCCCCTCCACCCCCCTCTTCCACCTTGGCTTCACCTTCCCTTCTCCCTCCTCCCCCTTCTGCATCAACACACTCATCTCCCAGGCCACTCTCATCCTTCCCAGTAGCCCCCTCCTCCTCCTTGCTCTGCACGGCCTTCTCTCCTCCATCTCCCCCATGCATTCCATTGCACTCGGCCTTCCTTGCCACCTCGTGTTTCTCGCTCTCTTCCGTTCCATTCACCCCGTTTGATCCAGGTGGGTGGACGGCCGGCGGGTCCGGGAGGCAGTCCAGCTTTTGCTCGCCTGTGGGGAGTTGGAAGGAGCGCACACAAACACACGATAAAGACACAGATTTGTACTTTCTCATAGTCACCCTTGCCAGCATAATCACAGCCTTACAGGAAGTGGACGGTTTGACTCACAAAACTAACCACAGGTTGGTCACACTTTGACCTTCAGAAAACACCACAGGTGATTGACGCTTTGACCTTCAGAATACACCACAGGTGATTGACGCTTTGACCTTCAGAATACACCACAGGTGATTGACGCTTTGACCTTCAGAATACACCACAGGTGATTGACGCTTTGACCTTCAGAATACACCACAGGTGATTGACGCTTTGACCTTCAGAATACACCACAGGTGATTGACGCTTTGACCTTCAGAATACACACAGGTGATTGACGCTTTGACCTTCAGAATACACCACAGGTGATTGACGCTTTGACCTTCAGAATACACCACAGGTGATTGACGCTTTGACCTTCAGAATGCCACAAGCGAGTCATATGTACATTCGTCACTGGGAATGTCGGAGAAGGAGGCAAAGTCGTACGAGTTTTGAGAGGTCTCAAAACTTGAAGGCGTGAGCGAGTCACACGTACACTCATCATTGGGAATGTCGGAGAAGGAGGCGAAGTCGTACGAGTACATGTAGTGGTACACGAAGTCCACGTCTCCTGGTATGTCCAGCGGCTCCTTGGGGCCCGACTGATGTGTGGGCGCAGAAACACAAGGTAGAGGGAGAGGGCTCGGAAGAGAAGTCAAAGGAGGCAAATTCGTAGGAGTACATGTGGTAATACATGTAGTCCGCATCTGCTGGTATATTCAACGGCTCCATAGGCTCTTACTGAAGTAGATGTGGTGGTACACGTGGTCTGTGTCTACTGGTATGATGGGTGGTACATGTGGTTTGTGTCTACTGGTATGATGGGTGGTACATGTGGTGCTCAAGGGGAAATAATTGAGAGCACATGCACGGGTTTATCGTACCAGAAGCACACAAACGTGCTGACTCACAATACCGCTCCCAGCGCCCCCCGTAAGGGCGTGTCTAGGTTCATCGTACCGGAGGTTTGACTCGCTTGACTCTGACCCTCCCTGTGATGCAGCTGGCAGGGTTGTCGTCAGTCTCCCGCGACCAGAAGCACAAGCGCGGATCCACAATGCCGTCCCCCAACGCCCCCATGGCCTGGTAGGGGGAAGGCCGGAGCAGCGTGAAGGGGAGGGAGAGGGGGAGAAGAGAACGAGGAAGGGGAAGGGGAGACGAGAGGAGGGGGAAGGAGGAAGGGAAGGGGGAGGGGAGTGGGACAGGTCTGATGAGGAGCGCTGGCAGTCAGAGCGTTCACACTGGTGGTGCAGCAGATTTGGCATCAGAGCACCCGCCGTGTTGAGAAGGAAGGGACTAGGAGCAACTTGTTCCACATGTTTGAGAGCTGAAAGAAGCATTGGCAGTCAGCGCACTCTCATCTCAGCAGAATCAGCATGAGAGCACTCACCGTATCGCTGTACCGGAAGTACCAGCGTAATAAGCATGACACTTCTCCCTTGGCGGGCTTGAATATCTCCTTGATCGTACCCATGAAGTCATGACCGTTGGGCTCGCCCTGTCACCACAACAACACACGGGTAGAATGGAAAGATACACTTGTGAGTTGGCTTAATTTAAGTATATATATATGTATATATATGTATATATCCCTTGACAGGCCTGATAACTTCCTGTACCGTATCAACGCTTGGGCTCGCCCTACCCTCAAATAAGACACTCGGGTTGGATAAGAAATATATTTTCTTTTCTAGTGGGGAGTCAAGATCGGGTGTCAGGCGGCTCTCAAAGACGGATGAGGAGAAGCTCAGAGGTCAGAAGAACCTGAATACCCGCTGAGAAAGTTTGCTGGTATGCAGTGAATAAAAACTGAGAGGTGGTTGCCAAAGCTCGACTCTGCCACACGCACCTGCACCGTAACATCGTCGCCAAGCTTGTACAGGTGACCGTCCATGGTGACTGCCGAGTAGTGCTTGACTCCCTTCACCTCCTTGCACCGCTCTGGCCATCGTGCGTTCGCCTCCCGCTTCGGAATCACGTCCTTCTCGTCCACGGACGCATCCTCACTCTCCTGCTCCTCCTGCTCCTCTTCCTCCTCCTCCACCTCCTCCACTTCCTTCGCTTTTGCCTTCCTCTTCCCTTTCACCACCGCCACCTCCTCTTCATCCGCCTCATCCACCTCCTCCACCTCGTCCACCTCCTCGTCCGCCGTTTTCCTCAGATTTGAAGCCTTCTTGTTAGCTTCCATCCGGGCCTCTTCGTCCTTGTCGACCCTTCTCCTCGGCTTTCTCTTTGACGAAGAAGCAGGGGAACGCGCAGAAGCGGAGGCAGGAGAGGAGGAAGCAGCTCCGTTTGGAGGAGCACGAGCTGCGGAACGCCTTGGAGGCCTCTGTGGGGATTCATGAGTCAGGACACATATCGCAAGGGAATTCTTGAGACTACAAAATAAGGTTCCTTTTCTTTCAGGAATGTATCAAACCGCGATGCAGTCTAAGTCGGGACTACATCAATCCAGTGGTCGCTAGATCCGATTGCGTGCGAGTCGCGACGCATTATGCAGCAGTTCGTGAAGCCGTACAGAGTCATTGTAAAGAACCCTTCGTGCAGCCATAGAGGCTGCATTTCCCTTACGTATCCCTCAACTCCGACGACCTCCACCTGAGCAGCGTTAGTCACTGTCCACAGACATCTCTTTGAGTCGACTCAAAAAGTATATTAATCACACGCGTTTTGTATCCCTCCCGACGACCTCCGCTTGACCAGCTTTAGCTACTGTCCACTGACGATGATTGTTATAGTGCATTTGAAGAGCGATATACCTGTCAGCATAGCATCAGAGCAAACACTTCCAAGGGCCGCATGGTACTACATTCCTTGTTTTCTGCAAACTCTGCCTGAACAAACAGCAACTATTGGTGACCTCGGAAAACATTTCTAATTTGTGCATTCATCTACATTTGCAAGTGCACATCCAAGCTTTCGTGACCCAACTGCCAGCTTCATCGTCTCACCTGCCGAGCAGGTGACGCCGCCGTCGTGGCTGCTGAACTCCGTTTTCCCACCATTTCGATCAGCACAACACTTGTAAATGCTAATCGAAACGGTAAGCGTACGCGTCGACTTAACCCGGGTTCAGGACTGAATAATGGCTGGAGACCAGACAGACTACGGTGGTCAGAAGGTGAGCAGATGCCAGTCCAGACAGAATCGGAAGAGAGTCAGGTGATCATCCCATAGGTCACACAGCAGCTTGGAGCTGACGAGGAGACCTGGGTTTCGTTTTTGTTCCTCGATTCTGTCTCCACTCCATCCCTTTTGTGATGCCCAGCCCGTACAGCATTCGACTCCAGTATGAAGCCAGATATTTGCCGGGCACGATCTGCAGAGCAGATCCGAGAAAGGGGTGTTGCTCTTGAGTTTCGGTTGGATGAAAACATTTGTGGTCACACGCTCAAAAATATTCAGCCGAGGCGTCAATTTGAAAGTTTGAACGCAGAAAAATTGGCGGGACCCAGATACCCGAAGTGAGAATATCGATACACGAACCAGTGACGATTAGCTTAGCCTACCAGTATATCGGCAAAAATAAGACGTGGAAATTCAAGTGGGATGGGAAGTGCAGGAACTTACATACCCTATTCCCGCAAAAACCCGGGAGGGAAAGCTGCCATTAAACAGTTACAAAAAAAAAAGGTTTTCCAATTCCTAACGCACTCAGATTACTAACTGTACATACAGAACTGAGGCTGGTCTAACTCAGCTTCAGCTGTCGGTACCCAGTTCAGTTGGATCAACCAATTTGCCCTGGCAAGCAACTCTTTACCACCTATACATGATCCGTCTTGACAAATTGACATCCCCTCTGCACTAGTTCATTTCTGAAGGCAGCTGAAGCAGCAGCGGAAGCTTGGCGTCCTCATCAATGTGTCCAGCAACCACCATACCCTCAACCAGGGCAAGCGAGGAACACAGGCCAGACTTCTTGCAAACCTTCTTGGGGTCCAGCACCTTGGGCAGCTCCTCGAAAATAACCGGCAGGATGTCCTGGGCTGCGCTGATGCACTGTGGGAAACACAGTGAGGTGGGAGGACGTACAAGTTGATAACAATTGATGAACCAGGACCAATGGGCTGGAGAGCGAAAGTAAGGTAGCTGACAAGATGTGCTGGACTGAGTATGGACTTACCTCAGCTGTGAGACTCTCATTGGCCAGCTTGTTGCACCTTCCAATAACGAAGTCCATGATGTGTGCCTGGTGAGGATGAGGGGACAGAGTCAAGACAGAGCTCAAAAGTCAAATTTCAACCAAGCACACACATGCACACACACACAGTGGTCATTGCTCCTTCCTAACTCTTCCCCATACTGCATCCCACCCATCTCAGTCCTTCCCCCTGCCCACCCAACGCTCTTATGCTTTCAGGCAAATCACCTGCATCTTGGGGTCTGACAGCCTCTTCCTGATCACCCGCACCATCATGAGACACGCCACACAGTCCTCCCGGTTTTGCAGCGCATTCTGATCATCCACAGCAGCCACCTCGCCAACAACATCCGCTGCACCTGCCACGTCATCGGGGTCAGATACAGCCTCCCCCAGAAGCGCCTCCTGGATGGTGTACGCCAGGATGTCTTTTGGAGTTGCTGGGGTCAGATCGACGGCTGAATTTGGCTCATCAGGACTCGGTGGGCAGATATGGAACCGCACACAGACTTTGTCGACGGTGATTTCGTTATCCATCTCAGCAATGACCAGCGGCACGTATTGCTCCACGAGCGCGTCGCACTGAGAAAGGGCAAGAAGAAAAAAAACGAGTATGAAAAGAGATGCATGGATGACTAATCCAGGGAACCGAACAAGGCTAAGGAACGTCAAATGAGGCGGAATCAGACGAAGTGGGAAACACAATCCCTTGGACGCATGCGTTGTAAAGCACGACGTGTCTACCTTTGATTTCCAGGACAAGCCTACCAAGTATTGATCCCACTCTCTAAATTATTCCTGTGCAAAAAAACAAAAAAAAACAAAAAAAAAAAACAAAAAAATTGCCCGCTCATCTTTTCAGCTAATTTCTAAAATCCACGCGTCGGAGAAAGGCTAGTCGACTTACCTTGGCTTCCTTCTCCGTGTCGAGCTGCGAACGCGATTTTTGACGCGTCCCAGAAAAATATTGGTAACTCCAGCGTCGCAGAAAACGCGTGGCTCACCTTGGCTTCCTTCTCCGTGTCGAGCTGCGAGCACGCGTACGTTTCGACGACGTCGATGAGGTCCGCCGCGGTGTCAGGAGCCGACAGAACCATGTGCGCCTGAAGCACCGCCGACATGCACGCCGGACACAGCTGGTCCAGAGGACCCCCCGATTCAGTCACATCAGCTGATGGGAACGGGAAACGGTGGAAGAAACAGCGTCGTCAGGAAACTAGAAGCACGTTTAGAGGTACGTGCTGCGGGTGCTGAAACATGCACAAAATAAATAGCGGAAGGCAGCAAAAGGGCTAGGTCGATGAGGTGTACGCACAGGACGACGAAAGCGGCCGAGCGTGGCATCCCAACACTAACAGTGCGGAAGCAACAGCAATCACGCAGAGAGCCGTCAAAAGCTTCGCCATGGCCAGATTATTCGACGAAGGGTAGCACAACTGGCAGCTCAAACGGGAGCGTGGAGACAACGAACAGACGCGCGAACGCCTACTGCAAATAAAGAGGACTAGAATAGTGACTGGGTGCCAGTCTTGGGGTTTCATTCAATGTCAGGCATCGCTGGCACCAAGGGAGGGTGCAATAGAACAGTAATTGGCGACAGTCGCCCCTAGTTCGCATCAACCTCCTCAGTAGCACCGCTGGGATGGGCAGTGCAGCCACGCTGGACGTGTTGTTCGTGGTTGTCCAATTCAACCTTGGGGAGATCGCACACTGGTGTGCCCGCTGTGCAGAAGCTCGATAGTAGAATACCTCCGCCTAAATACGTGCAGTTCTATGCTTTACGATAGGATAATAGTCCAAGGATTTTTACACAAATGGAATGATTATACACATACGCCTACACTTCAAACAGCACTTGTCTACACTCTCAGGTTATGGAAAAGCACACTTTGCGTTCATATGTCTCCTTGATATTGTGCAATTGTAAGAAAATAACCAAGCTTTCTTAATAATTAACTTCGGGTGGAATCTACAGAAAAAACTCCTACATTTCAAAACGCATGCGCACGCAAAAATAACAACACACCAAGTGAAACACTATAGGGCACAATCACCCCAACCCAACCCCCATTGTCAAGAACAGAAGGATGTGTTGACAAAGGTTGGTTGGGGTACATGACTCTAACTATAACTATTGTACCCCATAAGACACACACTCTGAGCACAACCAAAAGAGCCACAAGGCCAGTCCAAGAGTTCACAGAGGTATATATAAAGCGTACAAACAAAGCAAGCAAAGAACTCAAGACTACGTAAGGCAAGAACCTGTGTCTATGAGACCTAGCTGTACAAAACACATCTGGTGGTCACAAGGCGGAAGTTCAATGGTGAATATGTCTGCAGTGTTGGCCTCGGACTCCACAAAGTCGAAGCGAGCCTGCCCACGCCTCTGAAACTCTCGCAGAAAAAAGTACCTGACGGTCATGTGCTTCACTCTGCTCTCGAGTCGCGGCTCTTGACAAAGGAGAATCAACAGCAAGAGGTGTGCGCTGTACTGTACAGTGCTGAAGCTCGAACCGCTGAAGGACCTGCTGCACCATGTGTGACTGTGAGAGTGTAATGGTGCGAGCGGCTCTGTCCCTGGTAATCTGCAGGCAAAGGTAGTGGCGCAACTCACCAAGGTCAGAGCACGTGTCTCTTCTGCAGTTTGGACTTCACGTCAGCCAAAGCAACCCTGTCAGCAGTGGCGAAAACCAGGTCGTCGACGTAGACCAGTACAAAGAACGATGTGGAGCCACGCCGAACAAACAACGACGGGTTGGCACAAGACGGCTGGAAACTGAGGTCAGACAGTGTGGAACGAAGGGTGTCGTGCCACCCACGAGGAGCCTGATGGAGACCGCAGACCGGTCGCCTCAGCCTCCACTGGGTCCCAGGAGGGAAACTACCAGTGAAGGTAGAGGGACGACGCAGCCAGACCTCCTTGTGTCGGCTACCCTCAAGGAAAGCAGTAGAGAAGTCGAGAGAGTGTAACTCGTAGTTTCTTTGTGCCGCTACGTGCAGTAGCACCCGAAGAGTGGTCATCTTCGGGGTAGGCGCTAAGG